GCGATTGTGTGTGTGTGTGTGTGGGGGGGGGGGGGGGGGGCTTAACAAGTTGGTTAAATACTTCTTTAGAAATTCAGTGTCATGTATATATTAACCAATTTACAATTCTTAAAATGAGTATCATTTTTCATTTACAGCGGCTGTTTGCAAAGACTATAAATATAGTAATACCTTTTTAAAGATAACATGTAAATGAGAGGAATTGGACATAATGAGGTTTGCTACACACCATCCAGGAGGGATTTACCGGGGTATTAATTCTTTAAGGTACTTTTGAAATTTTCTGACAAGAATGTATTACGAAGATAAAGAACTATATGCGGTATATTGCATATGTTTGCCCCCACAGAAGTCAAATTTTGAAAACTTCCTGAAATGTGCTGAATTCAATAAATTGTACGAGAAATATAAGTTAACAGAAAATATTATAGTTCCAGAGCAGTGTATTCACAATTTCTGTTTTTATGACGTCACAAACTAGTCCGATTTTATATCCTTTTTCAGAAAGAGGACAAAATGGACAAAATTTCAACAATTTAAGCTTTAAAATTTATAGAGCGCATGTGTGTTCAGGAACAATATTGACATATTTCATTGATATTATCATTCTACACATTATATCAAAATATTTATCCTGAACACACATGCGCTCGGTGACTTTTATTTAAAACATCGACGAAATATGTACATTTTTCTGCAAAATTCATAAAAAACTGAAATTTACGTCATATTTGTGACGTCATTACGTACATATGACGTCATTACTTATGAAATTATTCAGTGCTTTGAAGTCAGCATATACTCCCCTGTTTAAGGACTTAATTAAATATTACTCCATCAAAGTTTGATTTTGGGGGGCAAATGTTGGTTAATACCGCATATAGTTCTTTATTTAGTATATGTTTTATAGAACTGTTCCCCGAAACATACACACACTTTCCTTGTATATTTATCGGATTTATGACTATGTATAGTTTTCAAATCTTCTAATCCATGGATATAAATGTATTTACTAAAATGATTTACGAGAATGAATATTTTGTTAATTAAAGTTATTCTCTTGACTTAGTACTTTGTTTTTCAGAAGAAAACAAAGAAGTGCAAGTGTCAAACAGATAATTTTCTAAGGAAGAAAGATATTGTGACCTTTTTTTCTAATTTCAATTGTGACCAATTATCTCTGATAAGAAGAGCGTTATTGACTGTGCGTATGTTAAAATAAACTTCATGGATTACATTTGTGAAAAGTTTAAACTAGTTAAAACTGTAGGAAATACAATGATTTTTATGTTGAAAGAATATTTTTTTAATGCTTTAAAACATGTTAAAAATGTTTTGAAAACGTTTTCAAAAATGTTTTCAAAACATTTCAGGTCAATATTTTTGAAAAACGTTACGATAACGTTTAAAAAACCATACAAAATAACGTTTTAGAAAATGTTTTTATAACATTTTGAAAACGTTTTATTTAAGAAATAAACAACGTTATTCAGTGAACATGGCGTTATGAATAGCAATTGCTCTGCTGGCATATTCCATGATGCGCGCTAGCGCATCATGGAAAATACGACAGCAGAGCTATTGCTATTCATAATGCCATGTTCACTGAATAATCGTTGTTTATTACTTATATTTGCATTCTTTGATTTTTTTTTCACGAATATCAGAGGAAATCCTGATTTACATAAGGAGGCGGCTTCTTGTCTTCAGTAAAGAAAAAACATACGGCTTTAAAAATCAGTACACCTGATCAATGCTCCTTTTCTCTAATAGATTACAAACAATTTTTAAAGTATTTCCCTCTCTAACACAGTTATTTGAATACAAGCAGCGCCATCATCACATTCTCTTAATTTTTGTTTTGATGCAGTTGTGACGTCATCGATCAACGTTATTGAAACCCTCTGACAAAAATCAATAATTCAACGCTATGATGAAAAATAAGAATGCTTCCATAATGATTATTACTCCAGAATGCTTTTCTTCGATTTTTTTTTTAGTTTTTCTATTCATTTTTAGTAGCTGAAATCATTCTTGAAATATAGATATACTAGTTAAAGAAATTTTCTCTTTCTGAATGTTATTACCCAAGTGTGAAGAGTTATCGTTCTTTGTACAAACATGCATGATACGAAAAAATAAAAATATGGCAGTTCTCTAAAATTTTTATTTAAAAATTTTATTATACAGTTAAATACATTTACCAAAATTGAATTTTTAAAGATGTAAATCAGCAATTTTAAATATTCTGAATTTCTTTTTTTTCAAAGAATATAGTTAAAAACTTATATTTATTCCTCTCACGAAACATTTCATATATATACTTCTCAAAATCATACCTAACTGTAGCAGAGCTTAATGATTAAGTTAATCTACACGAGTGTGATAGAGCAATTGCACATATTGCAGGAGCAGTTGCGTCTATAGGTCTATGAATGCAGTTGGTGCCTACATGTTCATAGTGGGAGAGAGCAGTGGATATGCAAATATAACGTTTTAATAACGTTGTTGTGCTACCTGGGTTAATACTAATTGTTAGTCCATTATTTAAACATTGAATTGATGGCGGATTTTTCCGTTATTACCCGATCATGCCAAGGAGCACATGGCAGATGTGACCGGTTAACAGAGAATGCTCACTCCTCCATGGCACCTAATTCCCACCTCTGATGTTTCGGAGGTCCGTTTTTGCTCTGTTTCTATTTGTATTGTGTTATGGACTTTGATATTGAATACTGTTTGTTATCTTCATATCCTTCTTGCAATCATGTAAGATTTAACAGAAGTCCAATGGGGTCTTTCTATTACGCTGCTAAAGTCAAGACAAACGCAATAAAATGTCCTTAGACTAACTTTTTGGTGCTATATCTATTATGACGTCATAATCACTTTTAACTTTCTTTTTCCCGAACTCTACAGCTCTAATAGAATTATGTAGAAAATAGAGTATTTTCATGGAATTCAATTTGAAATTCCGTAAAAAGTAGCCCCCGATACCTATATTAAATTTGACATTATCTTAAAAAAAGAGACTCAGAACATACAAATTACCTTTTCTGAGAGACTGTAGGCCATCTGGATACATTTTCTTAGTATGATATGGAAAAAACTCCCATATTCATGACTGGTTTTCTTAATTTTTCATCGAAAATGACACTTTATAATATGTTTTTTCATCTTGTTTTCCTACAAATTTTGCCCCGAAACACCTTATTTGACCAAGCTAATGTTATAAAGCATAATTATGTTATATATGCCGTAAATGTTTCATTTTATTTCATAGTTTAATAAATTAAAAAAAAGTTTATGCATATTTTCACCATGAGATTTGTTTGAAATTAATTACTATTTACAACATCTTAACAAAACATACTCTGCCTATAGACTACAATGTTAAATCCAAGGTACAGTTATAATAATCACGATTTGGCAAATCCCTCTGGTGGAGCATTTTTAGTTAGTAACTATTTAAATTCGCTACCATGACCAAAGATATCGGACCATCCATTAATTAGGTACAGAATATGGTCGGTATACGTTGAATACTTTAAACCTGCTAAAGATCTGCAAATCCTTAGCACTTTTCAACACTTTATATTCAGACATGCTATTGGTCTAACGAGAGAGACTAGATCTGATATTTGTGAATCCTTACTTGGACCTCTCCCGATTTTGTCTGAAATTGACAAATTTAAAGACAACTGCAATTTTTCGGCCTGTTGTGTAAAATGGATACCAAAACTCTAAACAGATTTTTTTCTCGACCGGCTTTTTTCTTACTTACAGTCTCCCGAACTTAAACATTATGGCTTTATCAATGACGCCATGGCTCTTTTGTATAAGTATGACCTCCATCAGTACCTCCTTATATACGTTCAAGATGGTAACTTTCCCCCAAAATACCTTTGGAAGAGATGTGTTAAAGCAGCTGTCACAAACGTACATCTGGAATCATGACGTCAACGGATGTACTCAGATCCGTCCTTTCTTCTTTTCAATACAATAACCGCAAGGTGCTCTCCGCAAACTATCTGGGAAATTCCAATCCACGAAATAAAAATTTGTAAATTTATTGCTAAGCTGTGGACTCTTTCAGATCTCCAGAACCTTGTCCTCTCTGGGAAGGAAATTTCAGAAACATTTTTTTGCACATTTCTACAACCTGTTTGGGCACAACCGCCATTCGCCCGAAGTATGGTGGGACACAATGATCGATGGTAAAGCATTGGAGAACACATGATCAGATCAAGGCATTTCAAACCACTACAAACAACGTAATAATCATATTTCTGAATAATTATTGAATTGAATCAAAAAGTATGTTATAAAAAGAAAGATCAGAAAGTATTTCATTATTTATTAATATATAAGTCTGTCTGTATTAAAATATACCTTGAAAGCAATTTCAAACATTTAACTTTTACACAGTATATCTAAAAAAAATATATACAAAGCTTGTAAAAAAGGAAGTGAAAAACAATTAGATATTTTTCTTTCTGGAAACTCCATCATGTTCTTCCTGTATAAGTTTAACAGATTTAAAAATTTCAGTTTCACAGTAAACATGTTATCATTAAGCTTAATTGATATAATAACAAATAAACTTCAAGATTGGCAAGAAGAGATAAAAGTCATCAAACATTACACATTAACATGTTTAAGAAACACTGAGATCTAGTACACCTCTACACCTCTACTAGTCAAAATTTATATCACAGAGATAATACATAATGAATTTAAAAAATAAACATCCCTGAAAAACAAATAGATAGTCCATTCAATAATCTCTCTCTCTCCCTCTCTCTCCTTTATACATTCACACACAATTAAATAGCTCGATTATGCTAGAATAAAGTGGACAATTTCAGTGAAGTCCAACACACTTGCTGAATTGCTGCCTTAATATGTTGTATTCAACTAAACTGCTTGCTAGCATTCAAGAGCTTTAACAACCCTTAAGCTCTCCCATTCTCTAATTTGTCTTTAATATTTCATTTATACATTTTTTAACATTCCATAGAAAGACAAGCTATCAGCAATTGAGTAGGATGAGAACATCATCCTGTGTGTTGGTATTGATGTATTCCTTGTGTCTAAGGTAACAGCAGCTTGAAGTTGTTGCTATGACGATTCCCTAGTATTTCCATGACAACATCATATATGGTCTGGCACAGTCTCCAGGGCCTCTGTGTTACTTCTGTGGGGTTCAACATTCTACAGCGAAAAAAAGGCTAAATAAGAATTCATCTCTTTTATTTTTTTTATTTTAAGTCACTGCAGTCTATGAAATGGTAACAGATAAGATCCAAATACCTAAAGACCATTTCTATTTTACCAACATTTAATATCCAAAAATTATGGTGGCAAAATAATTTTTTTTAGACTTTGATCTTTGAGTAGAATCTCAGATTCAGGTAACTGCACTCGTGCAAAACAGCCATTACAAAATGAAAAATGGTTAAAAAGAAATGGATCAAGGCAAACTTGTTGGGGCTGGGTTTTTTTTGTCTTGACTTTAGTAAGGCATCTGACCTTAATAATCTAGGATTCTTCTGAAAAATCTAGATTGTTAAAAATTCTGATGCAATAACATTACAATATTAACTGTCTTGATTATACAGCAGTGAAAGATTTCAGTGTTCATCTGTCCAACACACAATCATGTTATTTACAGCAGGAGTTCCACAGGGATCTATACTAGGACCAATTCTGTTTTTATTTTACATTAATAACAATGATTATGCATTATTTAAAAGATATAACAGACTTATTTGCTGATGATGCCACGTACCCTAAATATATCATACAGAAATTCCCAAAGTATCACAATTGTAAATTCATTGTCAATGAATATCGCTTTTGTTTGTTTTTGAACATATTTTATTGACAAACATTTCAAAGGGATTGGTTCTTAACGTTCTTAAAACTTTGTCCTCTCCCACTGCTACTCCTATTGCTAGACTAAGTATAGAAAATTGGTTTCCTCAAGAATCAGAAACAAAAACTACATTAATGTTAGTCAATACACATTTTATGAAGTATTTAATCTATGCATATAAAAACAAAAACTAACCATTTTGAAAAATGTTCTTTCATACTAAATTTTATAACACTCACTCCTGCTGAAGAAATAAAGTCAAAAGCTTGGGTGATACTCATATTTACAATTTAGCCATTGAAAAAGGAACTAGCTACAAATTCTAAATACACTACCTTTGGTTTTTCTCGATGAGTGTTCACAGCCTCGATGTTCAGGCTAACAAATTCAACCCTACAGCCATATGCTACTGGTGTGAGTTTGATTACTGTGTGAAGTGGAACTTTCAGATACGCTAGGTCCTCTATAAAATCAAATATAGGCAACTCTGAATATAACAGAAACAAGTAAGTCTTAATTCCAAAACAAATGTCATTAACAAGTGGTTTCTTATAAATCAGTAATGACATGTAATAACTATATCAGTTACACAAATAGGCAATTCAAACATCAAATAAAAAGATTAAAACTACTCTATTTTGAAACTAAAACATAAAAGAAATGTAAGTTTACAATTTGTTCACACAATATCCAGAAGTAATTAAAGTCAGAGTTAAATCAATTCTTAATCATGTTAATGCACTAAATATAGAAAAATATGACCAACTAGGACTAGGTGTTACATGAAAGTTTTATTCCTGAAACATTTCAGAATTTGATAGGAGAGCTCATTCTCCATTTTATTCATCCAGGAGAATTCACAAGAATAATGCACTCTCTACACATCTCCAATGGTCAACATAGATCCAATCTGAGGCTTGAACTCAAAATTCAACACATTGGTAGATACAGAAAGAGCGAAAGAGCTTAACTGACTGGCAAGTAGCTTGATCGTTATAATCTGGGGTCTACTCCAAAGATTCAACGAACTTAGAAGGCCAGATAAAAACATCCTAGCTAAACAGTCAAGAATTTTTCAGTTTTCGTAGATGAGGTGACCAAATACTATTAAACCCATATTGTACCATATCTAAAATTTCTTGAAGAAGCTGAAAATTGCATTCAAATATTACAAAATACAATTAAAATACACTATGACAGTCAGACATCAATGGTCATGTGATTCAAAATGACCAAACAAAATGTGAATTTCATTGCCCATGGATCAGGGGTTCAGGTGTTAATTAAGGTCCACCGATTATAAATTGTTTTAGTTTCAAATTGGACTTGTGTTAACTGGAACTACTTTCAATCTACTGCAGGTACTTCTCAAATAATTGATTTGCGGTACAGTCTGGTAAATTTAGAACATCCGATATTTGAATTATTAGATTGGCACATACAGACTACTTCTTTAGAAGAAACTGTACTTTATGAATATTTGTTGTCAGAGTAAACATCAACCAAGGAAACAAAGAAAATTCTGAAAATGAAGGCAGAGAATACCATGTTACCAGGAGTATTGTTGCTATAATTTATAGAACCCAACCTTTATTTGACAGGGTTAAAATTCTATATTTTAAGCATACTTTGATGTTAGAAATAATTTTTGATTATTACAATTTTATTTGAAACTGATAGAAGTGGATTCAAATATTATTTGTTTAACTCAAACTATTAAATTGTAGTTTGTCATCAGAAAAAAGCATCAAAAACAGTATTCCATTCATAAACTGAGAACAGAGTGACTTAAATCAAATTATATTGATTTTATTTAAAATGTGTTATTGCATGTACTTAAAAAATTATGCTGGTTTGTAAAATATTCTTATAAAAATATGGAAAACTTTTTCGTTTATTATAAAAACTACCCAGTATTTCAAAATGTATATTGATTTGAAATTTTCTCTTCACTTTATTCTCAGTTTATGGTCTTGGGGCCAGGTACATGTATGTATAATAATTGACTCTACACATCCAACTGATCCTTTGAATTATAGCAAAACAATTTTTGAGATGACATGATGCAAGGATGATTCATATTCTTTAACATTTCTTAAATATATCTCCCAGGGACTATATCCAAATTACAATTACCAGTTAAAGATAAATCTTCTTCATGTAAGCATGGAAAAGGTAACCTTTGCTTCTCACAAATATCACAATTACATATCTATGATATATTGCAAAGAACTTTTTTTAAATTCTTAAATTGATAAATTTAAAATGTATGGTGTTAAACACATATCCAACCATTACATTTGCAAGTGGAATTAATACATGTAAACATACAATGATGATAACAACAGCAAGCAAACAGTTACTTAGTGAACCAAGTGAAGACAATGACAGAAATCTAGACTACTGGCAGCCCTATAAAGTCTACCTGGGTTTTAACAGGTGTATGTTTTCACACTCACAACCTCTTCCCGACATTTTCATTTTGACCACTGCCTCGTTGGGGACTGGTACATGTGGAATTTCATCTAGAAATTAGAAATTTAACGTCCCCAATTTGCAGTTTATAGTCATTCACACAGAGAAAATGTTCATGAATTTATCACTTTATCCCTTCAACTGCTGCGATGTTTTAAACTGTTTTTTTTTTCAATAACTCATAAAATTTTAAGAAAACTATTTTTTTTTCTAAGTAACACATATTAAAACAGTTGTTTCTGCAAAGGCAAATATAATATTGATACAGTGGAATTCATCTAATCCAGATGCTGTATAATTCAAAATCTTGCCTATACAACATAAACTTTTAGGCCCCTTTCAGATAAATGAATTAAATTGTTTTTTATGTTATATCTTATCCAGAATGTTGTCTTTTTTTTCTTTGGAACAGTGTTGTTCAGATTATAGACAAGTTTCACTGTACATAATTTATCTAAATTCTAAATATTTCATTGCTCTTAATATATATTCCTAGTTATTTTGTATATAATTTGATGGAAAGCAGTTACAGGTATTTGCAAACCTACAACATGCATATACATATAAAAGAAAAATATTGGACTGAAGCATTTTTTAAAGTGAAACTATAGCCCCCTAAATCCCTTTATCCAATTCTTACCAAGAATTTAGTTGAGTTTCACTAATCATAAAATCTGCAAAACATATTGCTATATATTAATTTCATTATTTTGAGATCTTTCGATCTGGAAATTTGATGGAATGGAGGAAAAATAAAGGAAAACTTTAAGAAGTCACCATATTCAAGGAGATCCACTTTTACTTAAAACAAAATATCATTTTAGCATGTATAGCTAATGATTTTTTTTTGTGAAGTCTGTTGAAAGATATTAAATAAATACAGACTGTGGTACCCATAAAAATTTACTTGTAATATTAGAACTTGAAAATTACTTGACTTAATGGGTAAGTCGTTCACTACAACAAAAATTAAAGTGGTCCATCCCCATCATTATGATCTCAATACTCCACAATATGTCAGGAAACAAGAAAGAATTCTAACTGCATCATTAGCCTGATCAAACATAACAAAAAATGAAATATCTTAGTAAACATAGGGTACAAAAGAAAGCATACACAAATTATTCATCCACAAAAAAATGCCCCTTAGGGCAACTTCTACACTTTATAAATTGAACCTATTCTTGAGATGGACGTGTATGTAGAAGTTTGTAACTTCAAACTTGTGTTGAAATGTGGGAAGTTTATTAGTTTATCAACCTGAGACTCTTGTTGAAATGCGAGAACCTTGTTTATTCTCTACTTTATAAACTGAACCATATTTTAAGTGTTATTCTATAAATTACAAATTGAACCTCTATTCTCCACCTTAAAACAGATTTTTTTTTAAAGTGTATTTCTCTACGTTATAAACTGAATCTCTTGTTGAAGTCTGAGTTATCAACTTATTCTGTACATGATAAACTGAACCTCTCATTGAAGTGAAATTCTCAACTTAACTTTGTTTACTGAACCTCTTGTTGAAGTGTGAAACATACACTGCAAACCCATTATCTTTTTACAATACTACATCTGTATGTTACCTTTCTTTACAATATGTTTGATTTGTATATTCAGATCTGTTCTTAATTAAGGGCTTCAGTTTCTTGAAACTATAATTTTAGTCTTTTAAAGAAATCATGATGAAAGCATGGATGTATACATAACAAACATAATAAATAAAAGCAACAATTATAAATGCATACAAAAGCATGAACTAAGCTACAGACACAAACTAATGTCAAGACTGACAAAAAGTTCAACAGACAAAGATAAAACATACACTATTTATCATATATTACATGCATTTATAATGTATGTTTTAAAGTTGTTAAAATCAAAATACTGTAGACGTACTTTTTTTCACGGGGTCATAATTCCGCGGAATCTCAATTTCAGTTTAATCCGCTGGTAGAAAATTATGTGAATTTTTTAGACTTTCACTATATGCCTTACATTTATATTAAGTTTGCTTGGACAAATTTCCGCAGAAAATTTTAGACCACGTACATAGTGTAAATTAATATCACGCGGAAAAAAGTACTTTTACAGTGAGTCAAAATTTAGTAACTGACAAAAAGTTCAACAGACAAAGATAAAACATACACTATTTATCATATATTACATGCATTTATAATGTATGTTTTAAAGTTGTTAAAATCAAAATACTGTAAAATTTAGTAACTGGTCCTATATGCCTTACATTTATATTAAGTTTGCTTGGAGTTTTAGACCACGTACATAGTGTAAATTAATATCACACATATCCTGGTCCTGTAAGACACATTTTTTTTTTTTTTTTTAGTTTTGTTCTTTTTATAGCCAAACCCATTGATCTTTTAAGGTTTATTTACAGTGGAAAGTGTTTCTGCAAGGGACACTCAGCAAAACTGATGAAGAACAACACAAACCACACAAATTGTTTTCTTCTTTTAAAACATATTTCAAGAAGGTGGATGTCGACTTTGACATCTCTAATGCAGGTTCTCATTGCAAACAAGACATTAAAGAGACATGGACACAGGTTCAGCTAAAAATTTTCAAAATTAAATATAATAGGCAGTTTCTAGTGAAAGTTCTGTATCTCCTTTGTAAATCAACATCAACAATTGAAGTTCAAATTTTTGCTGATCACTTCAATTGCCTTAATTAGGAATTGTAAACATTAAAATTACAAACAAAAAACATTAAAAGTTTTAAAAACTAAATTAAAGCTGTGTCCTTGTCCCTTTAAATCTTTAATTAAATACTACTTTTCACAATTCCTTTATAAAATAGAGTGAGAAAGTAATGATGAGAAATACAAGTCAAACAATCTATAAAAAGAAAAAAGAAAAAAAAGTTGCATGGTCAAAAGTTTTGGCACCCAAGGGAAGGTTTTGTTACATTAAATGTTACAATGAATAAACCTATGAAATATGAAAGCCCTAGTTCCAACTGTTCAAAAGTTATGACCAAGGTTAAAGTGTGGTATTCTTTTTTTTTTTTGTAAAAGTGGGTCAAACTCAAAGGTCATGAGGTCAAATTTGGTGGTACCCCCAAAAAAAATCTTATCAAAAGGAATACACCTGTGAAATATGAAAGCCACAGCTCCACCCACTCAATAGTTATAAGCTAGGTTAAAGATGACAACAGAAAAAAAGACAGATAGACAGCCCAGACAGACAGACACACAAAAACAATATACCCCTGGATCGAAAGAATTACTGATATAGTAACTGCTAATGTACTAGTTAGTCCTTCAACTTTTTCAAAACATAATCATAAATTTATCTTTATGTTCTTGATAAAGAGGCTAAGAATACTTTTCTTAAAAATATTCCTTTTATGGGTCTTAAAATATAAATAAACATAAAATAAAAAACAAAAGCAAATACAGAGTAAACTGCAATGAAGCTCACATGCAGAATAATTTTGTGCCCCCTTTAAAGAACATCTTATCACCTATCATCAGTAAAGATATTTCTGTACATCTTAACTGCTTACATACATCATACTTTTAGATTTATGATATTTTTTCTGAGTTTGGTTAATATGAATTATAAAAATGCTTTGTAGTGTAAGAGTTATCTGCTGGCATCAATATGATAAAAATGCTATAAAGAAATTTTTCAAATAGATATTCATTCAATTACAAGCTACACATTATATTCTTTAACATTCAAGATCACAAATAAGATTATTTACATCTTCTAACTTAAAAAAAATCTGTTTTGAACTTCCTTCCTCATTCTGAATTTCTTGTATATTTTCAAATTAACACTTCCGGGATTATTTCGCTATAAGAGATACAGATTATACAACTGCATAGTTTCAAATATTCAAAAATAATATCAATTTACTTTCTTAAAATTCATTTATAAAGAAGTTAGTCCTTAGAGATCACAAACAGATTTAGTTCAAAATCAACTGAAATGGTTTAAAGGCTATAAGCTTGTCAACAGAATTATCAGCCAACAGTAGATGTACTCTGTGGCAAAATTAATTATTCCACATTTGCTTAACAATGTGTAAAATCATAACTTTAATCAACTGAAATAATTTTTTTTAGGACATATTGAAAGAAATCAATAGCTGGGATGTCAGAAAAGATACCTAGCAATATATCCAGGACAGCTGTCTACCAATATACATGGTCAACCTGACAATATGCATGGATTACCTTACAATATGCTTAGATGTGTAAATCACCAATGACAATTAATATGGATGGTTATGTTTGATATTCACAGGAGATGTGAACCCATTTGAGTCAACTTTCGGATGGATTAACTGATGTGAACTTCTGATGATTAAATGGTGTACTCTTGGATTATCTGGGTCCATGAGAGTAGATTTATAAAGCTTTGGTATGTGAACTAGTTTGTATACAGTGTATGAAGATGTTAACAACAGGTGTGTTTTACCTGAGGATTTGTCCTGGAAGTATGCCAGCAGACAGCGGGCCACGGCTTGATGACATACCACCAACACATTCTCCTGTCTCTCCAGTTCCTGTTATAAACATCTCTTAATTTTTACTTTTGTAACAGAACATCATACCTATGTTATATAAAAGAATGAAAGACACAAAAACTTTATAGTTTCTGTGTTTACCAGCATTTTGGTACCTTTGCTGCTGTAAAAAGTTTCATAAAAGGTTTTAGTTTGCCATATTTCTCCTAATCTTCATTATTTTAGAGCCTCAATTGGTCTATAAGTTGTTCACTTGTTAATAGTTCAAATGAAAAGGCACATTCAGATTAAAGGAGATAATTTGCTTTCAACAGATAATTAGACACATGCTTTGAAAAGATATATATTTCTAACTTTTTTATGTTTAAAATGACACAGATTTCAAATTATTAACTTCTCTGATGACCCAGTTGAAACTTGAAGATGCCTTACCATAATGACTGGTTCTAGTCTAGCCACTAGGTCCTGGTAGGACTGAAAAGTTTATAAGATCTCATTAGGATAATACTGTGTTGTAAAAATATTTGTCTGATATAGAAGATCATAAAACAGACCAAAACAGATTATCAAAGTTCTCAACAGTAAAAGTTAGAATGTATATTTTTATTTTCATAAGAAGCTTTATCCATACAAGAAGATTCAAACAAGGAACAATCTTTAAAACAATTTGATATGAAAAAAAATCTTTCAAGAAAGTTGTGAACAGTTGTCTCTAATTCATTTAACGTCCACATTACCAGGTATAAACTGGGTGAAATTCAAACTTATGCTCAAATTAAATAAGTTAACTTAATTTTACCATGAAACCCTTGTAAATAGGTATACATCACAATTTACCTCCCCTCCTGGGTATCTGTAGTGAAATTTATCCTGATCCCTCATTGCGAATTCCATGGGGTGCTGGGCCTGAATTTCCTCATAGGTCATCCCCTCACATATACCCTACAAGAAGACATTAATGGAGATTTCCCATAATGGTATAAACAAAAGTTATAAACAATTTAATCCTTTATTATCAGCTGATATATATTTATATTTTAAGTAAATTCTTTTAAATCTTTTTTGTTTGTAATTGAGTATGTTAAGTGTATTGGGTACATAATATACGCCTAACTTACAGCATCAATTTCATTCAGAGCTTTCCAGTGCTCCACTGGGGCATCTACATGTCTGGCCGTTGCTTTCGTTCGCTTGAGTTCACTAGTCCACACTTTTAGATTAGCAATTTTTTCATTTTCCACATAACGGGCTAAGGCAGAGGCATACTAAAATTGTACATTAAATTAAATATTAATAAACTTTAAAAGAACAAACAACCAAAACAAGGGAAAACAAAAAGCATGTATATTTGTTCATGCAAATATAGTTTTGAACAGATCTAAATAATGCTTTCCCTATGACATCTGATAGATCCCCACCTCGTCCCCCCTTGGTGACAATTCACTGTCTCCCCCAATCCTCCCCTCTAGATTCATCTGAGATTCTCCATGCTGAAAAATAATACCAAAAAAAAAATCATTAAAAAAAGTACACTGTACAGCTTGACCATTGACTATCAGGTATTTTAAGCTACAATTAATTTTTTACCAAGGGAAGTGGAGGCTTAAAGGGGAAATCTGCCACTGACATAAAATCCTTTAAAAAAGATTTTAAGGTAATTTTCAATTTTTCAGTCACTTGGAGTAATAAACATAGAGTACATTACTGATGTTTCTTCACACCATAAAATGTTTCGAAACTTGGGCCTGATATGGATGTGGAATTAAAACTCTGTTTGATAACTTAAATGTCTTTTGACTTCAAATTATATATTTTAACTCATGGTTATACATTAATAAGGTGGAGGGGTGTTTTTTAATACAGTGACTATTCGCATTTTGCACTGTAAAAAACTTAAAAGAGAAGAACTATGTGAAGACTTCTGAGAATATTAATTGTCTTTTTGATGATTAAAATTCAGAAATTGGCCATCAAAGCCATAGTTTACTTACCCTTGTTAAGTATATAGTTCTTGGCAACACATGAATATTCATGAGGTAATATACAACACGACTTTGTAGATGACCTGAAAAAATAAACATACAAAAATTCACTGAAAATATGAAAGAATTAAAGCTTTTTTCCTAACATTATTTATTGCACTGTTCTGATATACAGTTTATTAAATGTCAGATCTGTCAATAGACCAGAATGCTTGGAACAGCTCAATGTGTTCTACTGCCTGATGCCAATGACCAATTGAACGCATACATTTGGAATGTTTTGGGGCATACTCATAATACAGACCCTGAGACGTGCTACTACCCCAAAAAAGCGTGTGACTTTCGTGTGCTTTCCGTTTCGTGCAAACCGTGTAGCGTTTCGTGTAAACCGTGCAGCGTTTCGTGCAAACCGTGTAGCGTTTCGTGTAAACCGTGCAGCGTTTCATGTAAGCTCCAAAGCGTTTCGTGCAAACCGTGTAGCGAGCGTGTAAGAACCGTGTGAGAAATGTGCGACTTTCGTATAAGAACCGTGTGAGAAACGTGTGACTTTCGTGCAAGAATCGTGTAAGATTCATTCCGAAGTCATTTCATTTTAAATATGGCTATCGATGGGTCAGGATGTCAAATTGTATTAGTATTTTATTATTGAATAAGTTTAGTTATGCTAGTGATATTTTAGGAGAAAAAAACAAACAAAAAAGGGAACAGCAAAATGAAATTACACGGTAATGTCTAATATATATTTGTTTGTTTTCTTTTCCTTCTAAAGAAAATGTGTTCAAATTAATCAACTATGTACAACAATTTTAAGGGCATTGAATTCAATATACTATCAACGCGATCATGGCTTCTTAAATATTTTTTCTCAAATAAAGAAAGAAATACCAGTATTATTCTTTTTTAATTTAAAGCAAAAATATATCAGGACTCCGCTCTTGTCTTTACATTTAAAGTACGTAAATGAAAGTTTTGAAACGATGTGTCATTTAATACTTTTTAATACATAAAACTTCTTGCTTTATTGTCAAATAAATGGATTTTATAATTTTAATTCACATGCACTGACGATCACATGTTTAGAACTGAGGGGGGGTGTAAAATTAAATTACAAGTACAGTCTTTCATTTTTTGTTGGAACTTTCAAGCTAATGTTAGTTTAAATAAATGCTTAATTTTCTATTCCGTTTTTAATCCTTTGTTTAATATGTGCACAGAAAAACCCCTTAAAAATGTATTGGAATCTTCTTTCCACCTTTCAACTGTGATCAAGGTCATTTACAACAGCAATCACGGGCTCAGAGTGCATGGCAACTGAAAACCTGTTTTGCTATATGTACATGTTGAGTTCACGGCTTAATGACACCTGAAAATTATGACTGGATTTTATTTTTTTAAATAAAATGGTTCTATAAATATTTAATGGGTACAAGTTATAAAACAGCGGATTTCATCTTTTATTTGTAAATCCGAATTTCTAGCCGTAAACAGTAAAATAAACAGAACTGATTTGGTAGTCTTTTCATGAATATCATGTAAGAAAAGCTTAGGAGTAAATCATGAATAATTGCATATTATTTGTTTTATAAATCACGTACTTTTTATTTCATCTAAGATATTTAAGTTTTCTTGTAATATACCTGAATACCGGTGTAAAGATCGATCTACATTGTATGTATAATGTATAGTCAAATTCCGCGACTATTAATTAATGTGCACATATATACATACGTTTAGTCGGGTTTTGAAATGAAGGATTTTACAGTATGATGGGTATACTGATGTTGTTTGATAAGCTTCATGTACAAAGAGAAAGAGATTAAAAATAGATTAAGACATCACATTTAATCCCCCCTTTACCGGTTTCCTCCTATGGATAATGCTTACGTAAGATAAAAAAATTTCTTTGAAAATGTATCAATAATCGTTAGTAGAGTATACAGGCAAATTTTATTACTATATCAAAATCAAGAAAAATAATCCGACTACGGAAATCAAACACAATATAATCAATATTATTTAAAATCAATGAGTTCATATACTTGCAGTAAGAAATCGAATTTGTGTTTAATTTATTAAATTATACTCGTAAAAATATTACATTGAAATGAATGACTAATATATAAAAAAATGTATTTTATTAAACAGTCATTCATGATATCTGCATTTCGTTTTTAAACAGTTGGATAAATAAATAAATATGAAATGACAATTATTTATTAATTAATTACGACTGTCAGAGTATTAAATATTTCTATCGGTTTATATAATACTAGTGTACTGATATCTAATTTAAACAGCTGCTAAATGTGGCTTTGTGAAAGATTTCCATCTAATTAATGATAAAACCATAAAATGCCCAAGATATTCCGAGTAGAAAATCTAAATCAAGGCCAAAACGTGCGAGAATCGTGTACAAAGCGTGTGAGAAACGTGTACAAAGCGTTTCGTGCAGCCTTTCGTGCAAAGCTTTTCGTGTAAACCGTGCAAAGCCTTTCGTGTAAACCGTGTAGTGTTTCGTGTAAACCGTGCAGCGTTTCGTGCAAACCGTGTAGCGTTCGTGTACCGTTCGTGCAGTGAGCATGTGGGGTAGTAGCATGTCTCAGGGTCTGTAGTATCCTTATTACAAACTCAACATTTAATACAACACCAACATATGGAACCCTCAACTTCTTAGTATGTATAATTAACTGTATATATTTTCATTTCTATTTGTTTGAAAGTTATTTGACTTGATTTCTTGATCATTTTATCAGAATGTAAATTTTGCCAAGAAATAGGTCAGGAGTTAAGGAGGCATAATATGCATGTAAATCTTATGCATCTGTCTTTGTGTCTGACCCTAAGGAGGCCAAATATGCACGTAAATCTCCTTCAGCTGTCTTCCTGTTTGATGTCAGTGGGCAGAAACATTGAAACTGACATGAGAGGCCTTGTGTAATTTAAATTTATTAGTCTACAATTATTTTAAAATCTGAATTTACAATTTTATTTCACAACGAAATGGAAATATAAGGAATAAATGTCTAGTTATGCCCCTTATGCAATTTATCCCATGTTTTCAACTATTCCCAGCATTCTCTATTAACTGGACAGTGACTTGATCCTTGTCACTATTTTAATACCTGCTACCGTGTGGACTAGGAACCTCTCCCCTTGGTTAAATATCTGTATATAGGAGAGGTCTTTATCACTATTTAATACCTGCTAGCGTGTGGACTAGGAATCTCTCCCCTTGGTTAAATATCTGTATATAGGAGAGGTCTTTATCACTATTTAATACCTGCTAGCTTATGAACTAGGAACCTCTCCCCTTGGTTAAATATCTGTATATAGGAGAGGTCTTTATCCTTGTTGTGGTCCAGCGATTCGTACATGTTGTTGTAGTGTTCTATTCTCTGCATAAAATCCTCCACTGCATCGTCCTTATTCATCCCTATATAGTCTGGACTACACACCTTTACTTCCTGTGACATAATGGACAAAAAAATAATTATTAACCACTGCCTAAAAATTGAATTATTGTTAGGCACTTTTTTTCCATGACTGTATGACATATAGTTTCAAATAAAATAAAATGAATGGTATGATACACTAAAATAGAATGGAGAAACATAACTAAATAATTATATAAAGTTAGCATTTAATATACTACAGAGTATGTGACACAATGAGAGAATTTAAAATTCATATATACCCGATTCTCATTATATCGCGGGTTCCATAGTATCGCGGTATATTCCAAAAAATCATATACACAGCTCATATCATTTTTGTGGATAAATCTATCTATCTGTCGTCTGAATGTAAATTTTTGTGATGATTACAAAGAATGGAACATGCGTCGGAAAAGTTTTAATTCAAATAAAACGCATTTTTCCAGATTTTCATTCCTGTTTTTAGTATATTTAGACCACTGAATTTATAATCTAGTAAAATGCATAATAAAGTTCATGTTTTGAAAGTCTTTAGTTTGGATGATTGCTTATTTTTTATGTAGAATTACATCGTAAAATTAAAAACTAGAACTGTCCAATAGGGACAAATACCCCCGCTGGGTTTTTCAGAGTAGGTGCCAATTCAGAAATATTTTATGGATCTAGTAAGAGGTGTTGATCACTATTGTCTAATAAAGTGCCCCGCCACAGCATGATACCCCCATCAAATATTGTTTGATAATCATAAATTGGTTAGGGTGCAAGAAAATCAAGTAACCTTGATTAACAGATTGACACAGATTTCAATGATCTAATTTCCATTTCTTATCATGCTTAAAATATTGTACATACATCTCTAAGAGACTTACAGTGTAGGGATTAATTAAATAATACATCATATAATTCTAAACTGGCTGTGTTAAAGCTTAACAAATATCCATCTGCAGCTTTAAATTGTTTATTGCATATTTTATGAAAATAATGGAAATGCTACAGTCTAATAAAAAAAAAAATCAAAAATCAATTATTCTTTAGACTATAAAATTCTAAGTGAGACATGACTGCAATTTGTTGCAAATATATAAAAATTGAAATGTAATTTTTTTTTTCAATGAACACATGTATAATTAATTTTAGTTATATTATACAATACTAATTCAGTTTTAATCATACACTAAAACATCAATTTGTTTTAATTACATTACACCAATTGAAAGATCTTTATCTGAACTACAGCCATCAAGAACTCTTAATTAACACAAGCAACTATAAGGCCATTTCTTTTTGCCCAACTCCCAAGAGAAAAATTAAGATAAGCACTACATGATGCTCTTGTTAGTTAACTCCCGATAAAGAACTCTCTAATTTGATATGCACATTTCTGCTATCAAAATTTCTCCTTGACTGTAAGTGCTTGATAATTATGCCCATGGGACAAACTGAATTCCTTTCAAATCATTAACATTTGTTACAGAATTTGCTGTAAAGTATATGATAAAAAATAAGTTTTTACTTAATTTAGCACTTTTTAATAAGGATACAACTATATTTTTACATTTTTTAGTATTATGAAATTTAAAAATTTTAAAGACTTATTTTTTTTTTTTAAATCACTTAAATTAAAGGTCACAGTGACTTTGAAATAGGTCGTGACACACCGTCTACCCAAGATGCATAAATTGTCCAAGTTTGATGATTGTAAGTCTAATAGTTTTCTAGTTATGAGCCAAACAAAATCACAAAATAAAAAAGAAAAAACGCCTGTAAAATGCAGAAAAATCATCCAATCATGATGAAAATCCCAGGTGCACACCTTCATATGGTGAATAATAAGTGTATAAATTTTCAGACAAATCCATCCAACAGTTTCTGAGAAATGGTCCGGACAAAATCTTGTCTACAGACAGACGGACAGACGGACAGACAGACGGACATGGTGATTCCAATATACCCCCCTAAACTTCGTTTGCGGGGGTATAATAAGAATTGAAGTCCGTGTCAAAAACAAGGTGGCATGTTTCCCCATACCGCGATACTATGAGACTCTCCAATTTAGGAGGTAAATAAGACTTCCTGTTTTAAAAATAGACTACAAATTAAACGATGCAAGCTTGGGAAATAATTTGATACTAAAAAGATAGGCCATAGTTTGGTTTATGAATATCATTTGATGAAAGTTTAAGTAAACAATTGGAATTACACTTTTTATGCAAAAATTTTTAAGCACCGCGATATAATGAGACACCAGTATAAAGTTTGCATTGTACAGTCAATGGACAAAAGTATTCGTCATTTTAATTGGCGTTGTGTTAATCGCGATGCCTCTTTCGGCTATTTTTTCCACTTGCGCTATTTATACAACAAACGAAATAGAATGAAACTTTCAATAAAGAGACTGGGGAAATTACGTCACGATTTTGTGACGTCATTTTGTCACTTGTGTGTCTGTAAACACTGGAAAACATCACTCGAAAACATGGGGCGAAAATCAGTTGAGCACTGAGGTAAAAGAAATGATCGTAAAATCTGCAAACCATACTCCAAATAAAGCAGAACTGGCGAGAATGTTTGGTATACCAAGGTCAACAATCGTGAGTATTTTGAATAAATTTGACAGACTGGGTACTGTAGAAAACTTGCCGAGATCTGGCCGTCGACTTTTGTTTACAACTCGGGACAAGACGAAGTTAAGTCGCCTCGCTAAAGCAAACAGAAGGGACACTTTGACGGATTTAACAAACAAACTGAACGAAGGAAGAGGAAGACAATTTAGTGAGAAAACAGTATTTAGAAAATTACGTGAAGAAGGGTACAAAAGGAAACGTGCAAGGAGGACTATGGTGGTTCGATGTGTGAACAGAAAAAAACGGGTAAAATGGTGTCAAGAACGAAAAAACTGGAAAAGTGATAATGAATGGAAAAAATATATATTTTCCGATGAAAGTCAGATTGTTATCGGGACAGATAACCGTGTGTATGTGTGGAGAAAGGACGCCGAAGCGAACAGTCCCCATTTGATTTGTCCGCCATCGAAAAGGAGGGTAACACTTATGATCTGGGGATGCATGTGTTTTGATGGTATGGAAACTATTGTACCTGTCGAAGGTAATATAAATGCACTCAAATACTTGGAAATAGTTGACAACAATTTATGGCCTGTAATTGCCAGACATTTCTCGAACAAAGACTATGTTTTCCAAGACGATAATGCTCCCGTACATAGGGCTCTCGTAGTGAAAAACTATATGACTGAAAATAATATTAACTGCACAGATTGGCCAGCTCAGTCTCCAGATTTAAATGTGATTGAAAACATTTGGTTAAAGATCAAAAGAGAGCTCAAAGGCATGTCCGCAACTATTGAAAGTCGCGATCAGCTGTTTGAGGCAATTAGACAAGTGTGGGAAAACATCCCCTTGGAATACGTCCACAGCCTCTACGCATCCATTCCAGATCGGATTAAAGAAGTAATCCGTATGAAGGGAAACCTGACCAAATATTAGGTAAGTTACTTTAATTTTAAGTATACAAATCTCCGTTTAAAACTTCCGTTGTGAACGTAAACAACGCGACGCCATTTTGAAAATGACGAATACTTTTGTCCATTGACTGTAGCTTGATTGAAAATAACAATTAACCATACATGTTAACTCTCCCGATTTAGGCGGGAGTCTACCGCTTTTTCACTCCATCTCCCGCCTACCGATTTAATTCAGAAATCTACCGCTTTTCTACAAAAGCTTCGTCTAAAGTATTTTTGGTTCGCTTGGGTATCCATTTTTGAAGCCACTCTCATAAAATCTCGCTAGATATCGCGTGATTTGACTCGGAATCATACAAACGCTTTTTTGTACATAGATTTCAAGCACGGATTTGACAACGACAACAACATAAGACTACCAGTGATTACATTGGTTACGATAAATTAATCAACATCCCTGCCATGAAAAAGGAGATGCAGCTTTTAAGAATTAGATGAAAGCATTTTACATCGTCTTTAAAAGCACAAAAGCTCACAACTTTATCAAGAAAGTCAATAGAAATCACTCGATCACTCGATTGACCAAGCCATGTGGCACATCTCTACTTTCGTTTTCGATCATCGCGGGAAATCTGATTTATATAACGAAAGATACGAACTTATTTTAGATCTAGATTAAACCATGCCATCATTTGTTTTGTTTAAAAACTGAATGAACATTCAGAATTATTGCTTTTAGGCTATTTCAGCAAAGATCACTCTTCAAAAGGCTAAGTAAAGCAGCCAATCCAAGCAAAATGATGAGCATGAAAAATATTTAAATTTGTACAATTTATGTCAAACTTAAGGTGTTTCTGTCTTCTTATTGCTGTTGATATTTAATATTAATAAGTGTAGGTACCTGATTTCATTTAAGGCTTGTAATATACATGTATATTACATGAAAGATATCGATAATCCAAGCGTTAAACAACACGCGCGCAATGCTACCGCTTTTGAGGTCTGAATCTCCCTCTTTTTCATCACAATAGGTTAACATGTATGCAATTAACCCACAGATGTAAAATGCTTGCCAGTGCAGAAATCACAAAACCTTAGGTGAGAGAAGACTCTCTCTGAGTATCAACCAAACATAAAGAGGTCAGTAACATTTTCTTCAGCATTCTTATTGAGAAAAACAAAACCAAGGAATTTGACTGCATGCTTTCTAAATGTTGACTGAACAATGATCTCCAAATATTTTTTGGGGCTGACCAGGTTGAATCAAATATACATTCAGTATTAAAAAAAAAAATAAATGGTGCCTGTTTTGGAGGGTAACAGTTAAAACTGACACCCCAAGAAAACCACTATCAACTGCTGACACGTCGGTTGACAATGGTTTTCTTGGGATTTCAATTTCTAGTGTTACCCACCAAAACAGGCACTATTTATATAATATGGTGCAGTAACAGTGTCCTACTGTGTACAAAAATAAACCGAGTGGACATACCAGAATATTGGCTTCAATGATAGAAGGATCGTCACAGATGGACTCCACAAAGAACAGCTTGAACTTGTTCTTGACCTGAATGATGTCAAAAAGGAGTTTTCTTCTCTCTCCAGTTGTGTTGGTGGCATCCAGTACCTGTCAAAAAAATATACCTTGAAATATAGACCCTTTCTGTTATTAACAAATCTCTTTTTAATACTGTAGACTGGCAAATAATCACAATGGTTTTTATTTCACTATGTTCGCGATAAATGAGTTTTCCACAAAATCAAACCCGTCGTGAATGCTAACTTTAGTTTTTAAAACGTTTTATGACAATTTTCTCCCGAGTTTGGACTTTCAGTGGGCGTGGCATTCTCAGCCCTACGTAATGACGAATACTAGTAGATTCTCATTGGTTTAGAAATTAATAACAACAGGAACTTAAAATTGTTGTTGACAACGATGAGACGTATGCCCCACCTCTGTGTCGTGAGAGAACTTTTAATTGGCTATTTACTACACCAGTTGACATTCGGCCGCATTTCTATTGTATTTATATTTCAACAGTGAAGGGAAGCTGTGTAAATTTCAGAAGCTAATTAGGTAACGTCGAGAATGCAACGCCTTACTGAAAGTCCAAACTAAGCGTGTAATGGTCCTAAAACTTATGCAAACTTTAAATTAATTTCTTGCAGCATGAAATCAAAACAATCGCAATTGGTACTTTTTTGAGAAATTCTGAACTTTTAACACCAAGGAATTAAAACGACTTACAGTAAAAGATGCATTCAGTGTATAATATTATAAGAACAGTTTTGGATGAGCCAGAGAGCTGCATCACATCAAGTTTAAAGGTTAGATCATCAGTACATTATGCATACTCAGTAATATGTCATCAGTTTCAGAGTGGGGGTGATATGCACTAAGAAAACCACAGTGTGGTGATCTGGAAAGTCAGATCACATTGTCATGTAATTGCCTGAAAATCAACAGTAAAACTGAGTGTTACACAGTTGGGGAGAATATAAGCATTCATTACAAACCCAACTGCATCTTCCCTAGTCAAGAGTTTCTGATCCGCTCCGCTCCATATAAACCCTTGACAAAATGGGCTAAGTTTGACGGGGTTTACAGTCTATCCCAAAAGCACCGGTCTGTCGGACAAAACAGGTGAAAGTCTTACTGGTCTGATGCACTACCAAGTAAAATCAGTCCGTTTGTCCGAGGTTTGTTTTGGTTGGGTTTTAACTTTTATATTTTCTATATCATCATATAGACACTTTAACTAATACCAAACACATTAAAATTTTGTTGATTGTGATTGTTTTAAAACCTACTTCCGCCATGAGGTTTCGAAAATATTTCGATAGGGCAGTTATATTTTAATGTGTTATTTGTTTATTGATTTATATGACATAAAGAAACATTGTTATGATCATTAAATGATAAAAGTTTTGGACTGCTGACAACTTGTTTGGTCCTGTGAAATTGTTTTAACTGTCTGTCCAAATGTTCTCTGATGATTTTTCTTTTTCGCAAAGACTGGGTTTACTGTCACGCCATCTAGTGAGATTACACATTTTGAACTCTACTGACCTCTGCTATTGGCCAATCAGAGAAAACAAATTCAAGAGAGAATTTGAGATAATACTGGAAGTCGGTAATAAATTCAATATAACTCCACTAAAAAGCTTAGACAAACCTTTAACTGGGCTATTTAATGATAAAGACATTATCCTTGTGACTAAAACTGGTGTGATTTTCTGTTTACAATTTAGTTCAGTTTAAACTAGATATCATTGAGATGGTGGCCATCTCAAAGGGCCCCGCTTTCAACAATGAACATGAAAATGTAAGGTAGTTTAAAAGGGTTTATTTTGAAGAGGAACATTTGTGTACTACAGTAAAAGTTGTTTTGTACCACTTCACGGATATTGCAAATTTACAGATATATATTGAAGTTATCTTGTTTCCCCAGCTTTAAAAATTTAAGGAATTCATTAAACAGATATGACGAATTACGGATATAGCGAAGTTATTTCATAGGTCGCAGTGACTTCTTTATAACTGAGTTTAAATGTATTATGGAATGTGTTGTTTGAGGCTGACTGAAATTAAGGGGAAAAATTTATGCACCAAACAAAGATTTTAAACAGAAAGGCTAATTCTGACCATGACCTAGAAACTTCCACCAAGGTCACTGCATATCCATTGACCAGTGGCACTCTGTGGGTGATGTATGAGCCAGATTGGGCCAAGGAGAGAGAAGATATGCTCCGGACAAGGATTTTTCATATAATTCTGCTATGATCTTGAAGTTTGACCTAGAAACATGCTTCAAGGTCACTGCACACCGGCTACCCAAAGGCACTCTGTGGGTGAAGTATCAGCCAGATTGGGCCAAGGAGAGAGAAGAAATGCTCCGGACAAGGATTTTTCATATTTAATTCTGCTATGACCTTGACGTTTGACCTAGAAACATGGTTCAAGGTCACTGCACACAGGCTACCCAAAGGCATTCTGTGGGTGAAGTATGAGCCAGATTGGGCCAAGGAGAGAGAAGATATGCTAGGGACAAGGATTTTTCATATTTAATTCTGCTATGACCTTGACGTTTGACCTAGAAACATGGTTCAAGGTCACTGCACATCGGCTACCCAAAGGCACTCTGTGGGTGAAGTATGAGCCAGATTGGGCCAGGGAGAGAGAAGATATGCTCCGGACAAGGATTTTTCATATAATTCTGCTATGACCTTGATGTTTGACCTAGAAACATGCTTCAAGGTCACTGAACACCGGTTACCCAAAGGCACTCTGTGGGTGAAGTATGAGCCAGATTGGGCCAAGGAGAGAGAAGCAATGCTCCGGACAAGGATTTTTCATATAATTCTGCTATGACTTTGATGTTTGACCTAGAAACATGGTTCAAGGTCACTGCACACCGGCTACCCAAAGGCACTCTGTGGGTGAAGTATGAGCCTGATTGGGCCAAGGAGAGAGAAGATATGCTCCGGACAAGAGATCTCGGACGGACGGACGGACAGCTGGACGGACGGACGGACAGACTGATCACTATAGGGCGCCCGCCAAGCGGGGCCCTAATAAAACAATCATTTTGATTGGTTCATGCAAACTTGGATGAGGCAATCAGAGAACACATTTCCAACCCCAACGCATTTCCAACCCCGTCAAACTTAGTCTATTCGGTCAAGGCTTTATGTGGAATGGATCAGAAACTCTTGACTAGGGAAGATGATCCAACTATGTATCATTCAATTTTACTGTTGAATTAATGCAATCACATGATGTTGTGATCAGACTTTTTGGATCACCACACCGTCAGGTTTACTGAAGCAATATCACCAATGATGTACGCAGAAACATGACGTTATTTTTCTTACAGATTAAAAAGTTCCTTGACATTATACATTGTTTAAGGGACAAATATTATAATTGATTTCTTTTTTTTTTTAACTACATTTTGCTAATTGTAAAGGGGGTATATAATAAATTTATCATTATAATAAAAACTTTATCTGAAGGGTCGTATCTTGTCGAGTTGACAGGCGCAGATCATCAGATCAAACAAGACACAAAGCGTAAAGATTAATCTGAAGATCTGCACCTGTAAAGGAGATGTGATATGACTCTTCTGATCAGGTTACCATCATAATAATATATATGGAGATTACGTATATGCATGCCCTTTAATTGTTAATTAATACTTTTTCAGAATTTAAATGAATGTTGACAAGTAAATACAATTGTAGATATATACTTACAGCAACCTCACCTCCATTTTGAAGAAACTTACAGGCATCATCAATTGCCATCAAAGCACACTTCCTGTAAGATAAAAAGAGGTTTGTAAAATTCATGTATAAATTAATTAATAACATGCTATACTTATTTATACAGTTGAAGTCTGTTACTTTAAACATTACTAACATGAAGACCATTAATATTTCAAGGTGAGTATGGTTCCGATCACTACCTCTTTTTGTATCTTTAATCTCAGATCCATGAAGCCATGATTTTTTTGGTCTGTTTGATTTAATAGACAATTTCTAAATGCAGTATGGTTTGACTGTAGTAGTTCGACTCCCTCTCAAAGTTATTGACCAAACATGAATACTGTGAAACTTGGTTATAGCGAAGTCACTGGGACCTGTATGAAATTACTTTGCTACATGTATGTCCGTATTTCGTTATATTCGTATACGAAGGTTGATAAATTTATATAGCTGGGGATCCAGGATAACTTCGCTATATCCATGAATTCGCAATATCCGTGTTCGAACTACACGAGTTTTACTGTCAGTAATGTACTTTTCCTGTCAGTAATATAACTTTTAAATTGCTGAAATGACCTAAATATACATCCTCAGGTCACCAAAATTACTTGTTATATCAAAGTACATGTATGAGCCTCTAATGTTCTCCACTGCACCATACAGTCGCGGTAGGAATTATACATTTTTCACAAAAAGTGACCTTTAACTTGTGGAAAAACTTGTGGTCAAGATTACAATACACCTTCAGGTCCTAAGCAATTCTTGTACCATTTATGACCTACCAGTGATTCTATGAAAAAGTTGTAGGTCATACTAAATTGCATGGATAGACTGACCAAAAAAATATGACAAAATGAACTACAAATGAATATGATTCCTATACATTAATCCTCCAAATTTTCTTATTGGGGTAAATAATTTATAATAGAGAAATCAACATTATAGGTCTACCCTACAGTAGTGCCTGATACCTTCAAAGCCTTGTAACAAATAAATCCACAAAATACAAGAGGCCCATGGGCCACAGTGCTCACCTGAGTCACTTTAGTCCTGCTGTGAATAAGATTTTTACCATATATTTATATACATATTCCTATGTAAAATTTTGATTCACTTTTTGTAGCACAGCTAGGAGCCATGATTTGAATAAAATCTAATCTACACTACAAAAAGGTTGCTTCAAAATAAAACTGATTTCTCATGGCTTTTTTGTTCTTCGGAGAAGAAGGTTTAAAAGGAATTTCCAATAAATTCCCAACAAGTTTTCTACCATCCTTAAGGATGCTGAAAATTACATTCAAAACATGATTCATCATGGCTTTGCTGCTTTTGAGAAGGGGAATTTTAATGAATTTTTCTAATAAAATTCTAAAATTTCATTTGCTATAATGGCTCAGCCATACTGCTGGGAAGGGAGGGTGGACATTAGATTATACAATGCCTCAGGAAGATCCACATAAGTTTTGAATTTCCTGGCCCAGTGGTTCTTGAGAAGAAGGTTCTTCATTTTAACAATTTTTTTTTAAAAAAACTCTACTTCACCCAAGGATGCTTTATAGGAATTTTGGTTAAAATTGGCCCTGTTGTTCTTGAGTCGAAGTTGGGAATGTTAAAAATTACAGATAGACAGACAGAAAGCTACACAGACATACAATGGGTGATCAGAAATGTTCACTTGAGCTTTCAGCTCAGGTGAGCTAAAATATAAACACTACTGATGTAGCAAAATTACTTCATCAAGCATTTAAAGCATACACCAATTTACGAATATCATAATTTCAACTAGAAAATTTTGAAACTAAAATTAATAGTGTGTTTCTGTTTAAATGCTTTATACAGGCACCAATTTAAAGCAGCTTGAACAAGAAAAAATATGAGGGCACAGTTATATTTACTTGTGATGCATTTAAATTTGCATCAATATTGCATGTCATATCTTTAATTGAAGTTATCTCGGTTAAAAATTGACATAAGCTGACCTCATAAAGCATAGAAGTGAGAAAACTTTTTTACAGATCTGGTTCATTGAATAATAAAGCAAAAAAAAGATTTTTACACTTCTGTGAAAGTTTGTTCTTCTAATGGCTAACACACAAGTGTGTAAAAGACAGTGAAAGCATTGCAGAAACTTAAGTAAGTGTAATCAAAAACATTAGTACGTAAAAAAAAACAAACTTCCTGGTACAGCTGACCCACTTACTGTCTAATTGCCTGGGCCTCCGTATTATCTTGTCGGAAAAAGTCATGATTCCGATACTTGTCAGTGGCGGCCCGTCGATATTCCCCGACGTTAAAAGCTGAAAATGTTATAAAACACTTGTCAAACGTGAGGTGAAGGGTGATCAACTTACTGTCGTGTGGCCTCTGCTTCCACATTATCGGCACGGAAAAAGTCGTGGCTGCAATCCGTGCAGACCTCCCGTCGATACTCGCCCACATTGAACGCTGAAAGAAATGTTGACTCTTGGAGAGCTGGAAACTGTGGCCAAATATTGTACATCATACTTTAGAACAATTGTTTTCTTTTATCTCTGCATGGAGTATGCAAATAATGAATAGGAATCAAGCTTTATAAAAGTCCACTGCAACAATATGTACCGGGAGCAGTGCAAACAAGGACTCTGAAGTCATCAGAGGTGGGATTAGGTGCCATGGAGTTGTAAGCATCCCCTGTCAACCAGACAAATCTCTAAAGAAGGACATAGCTTCCAAATCAGCATTAAACATTTCAATTTTTGAGTGAAACATATATAACATTGAATTTCATTGATTTTCATGCCCTCGGATCGAAAGATCCTGGGGGTATATTGTGCTTGCCCTGTCTGTCTGTTTGTCTGTCTGTTGTCAACTTTAACCTAGCCCATAACTATTGCCCTGTCAAGGGTTAGTGTAAACCAGTTCAGTCTTCGTCCCACTCCAGAATTGTGTTACCATTGGGGGTAAAGTGTTTCATAAACACATCTTGTTATTCATAATTTAATGCATGTTTGTTACCATATTCATTGTGAAATGCATAAAATTTTCATTGCGTCATTTAAACTGTAGTATAGTTCATATATGAATCACATTGTTAAGAGTAATTCAAAAATCCATTCATAGGTTACATTTTGTTGTCTAGTCACTTTTAACTGCTTCCAATAATTATGTGTGCTTTTCAGATAATATTTCTTTATTTTCCCATTGACGTAGCTAGATAGCATACACAGTAGGTAAAAGTATTGAGAAAATCTATTTCTGTTCATAAAATTTTAACTTCCCAGTCCCCCTTCTGTTTTTTTCCACGCTGTCTACTTTGTGACTATATACCTTTCGTTTTAATTCCGATCCAGTTGAGATATCTCGTCAATTTCTTTGACATGTACGTCTTGCCACGGGCTGGTAATCCCACCATTGATATAACTGTCGGCTTCTGTATCACATTGGGACATGATGCTGCAAAATAAATCACATAAAATATTATGTGACATGAATTTCTTTGTAGTTTCCTGCTGAGTAAGATTTATCTCCCTGGAAAGTAATTATTATTTTACTGTAGACATGCATTATATACAGGCTTATTTTTGCCACGGTTTATTTTCACCCTTTCAATCTTGCAAACCATTTTGCCCAGTCTTAAATTCGGCCAGTCACTCTGTTGTTTAAGAAATTGTACTGAATTCTTTGAATTCGCCATTTTAAATTCCCCCACCAGTGTTAGGGTGAAATAAAATGGCCCGGGGCAAATTTTTCCCCATATATACAATATATCCCTTGAAACTTCTATCCATGGCAGGAAAATCAAAATTAATCAAGGTCATTTCAATTTTTTTCAATGTTTAATGCCTTATCACACACCTTGGTTTTTCCCACAAAGACCATACAAATCACATAAAACAAGAGGTCAGCACACTGATTAATTTAGGGAGTTTCTGAATTCTGCTGTCAATTTTGATTCTTTTTTTTAAAGAATATTCCTTTTAATATATAACTACTAAGTTATTAGCTATCAATACCATCTTAAGGGGGCTCTCTACAACGTCACAACATGGCGTACTTCCGTAAAAACGCCATTTTGATCCCAAATGATCAGATTCAAATTCACTTAACACCGATAAATCACTGAGTATAACACAACATGCGATATTGTTGATGGAATGTACATTATATCACATCAATTAATACAGTGTATTGCCCAATAAGTATCCTTTCTTTAAAAATGATTTGTTTGTCAATTTATTCAATTTCTACTTATTTAATTATTACAGAAAAAATACTTTTCAGTCAAAGCATGCAACAATAAGCAAGAAGAATAACCTTAAAACATGTACAATTTTGAGTATTATACTGTTGAAGTATTACCTGTGCCAAGTTTATGCCAAGCTGCCATGATAACCTATGCACAGTTTCTAAGTTATATACTAGCTAGAATATGCAGACTCCTTATTCTAAATTAGATCACAGTTTTCTCAATAAATCCATTAATTAAAATCTGCAAACACAACTGCTTCCCCTTACCGAAAAATAGGGCTTGCTGCGAATACTTGCCGCAAGCTTGCAGCAAACATTGCCGCAAGCTTGCAGCAAACATTGCTGCAAGCTTGCCGCGAACATTGCAGCAAGCTTGCAGCAGACATAAGTAAAGCCAATACAGAGAAGCATTGCTGCAAGCTTGCAGCAAACATTTTACCATGCAAATGAGGTTTGCGGCAAGCTTGCGGCAAACACTCCAATGCCCATATAAGAACAGCTACCTGCGAACATTGCTGCGAACATTGCTGCATACTTGCCGCAAACATTGCTGCATACTTGCCGCAAACATTGCTGCATACTAGCTGCAAACATTGCTGCAAGCTTGCGGCATGTTTGCGGCAAGCTTGCGGCAAACATTTTACCATGCAAATGAAGTTTGCTGCAAGTCTGCAGCAAACATTCACATGCCCATATATTGAAATAGAAATAATTGCTGCATACAATCTTTTAAACAGATTTTCTAGATGCTAGCTAGCATTAATTGATAATTTTAAATGAAAACCGTCTGTCCTAATCATGTACATCAAAATTTTCTAATACAAATATAAATTCAGTATACACAAGAGAATATAATAAAATTTAAATCTCAATTTATTTTCACAAAAATATATCCTCTAAATATGTTTCTTTTACACAGGAGGCAAAAAAAGTTACAAAATGCTCATTTTTAAAAAGTACAATGAAAAAATAGCACCATAAATGGAATATCTTTGGTAGAACTTTGACTAGAAAAGGAAGTGACATAAAAAAAAAGAGATATCAAAGAATGAAATATCAAAATAATTTTTTTTAAAACTCAAATTATAATTAAACGCCATAAAAAGTTTATACATAAAATTCTTCCTCAAGAAAATACTGACAAATATACATTAATCAAAATATATGTATTATGTCAATATGCATATATACACAGTACAATTCTAACTAGGAATGGTTACATATTGTGACATATGCAAACGTATATACATGTGAATTTAAACAAAACTGACTAGAAAATCACCTGAAATGTTTGACTAAATTATGGGCAATGTTAAGCACCTCACAATCTTGGATAAAATATGAAGAATAACAACGTATAGACACCAGCTTTTAGAACATAGCAAAAAGGATATATATATGCAACTAGTACAAAGAAGAAATTGCGTGATTATGGATTTCAAAGATATGTTTGTCAAACAATGAATCAAAAATGAAAAATTCCTATTATTCTGAACTATTAATTAAATTGCACATCGATGCATCTTTAATTGAGCAATAGAATAATGTACTTGGTGTCATCAGCAGCCTCACAAATTATTGATGCATTCTAATGGAAATGTTTTCCTTCTGAACCAAAATTTATATAGACAAATAAAAATCTTTTGTTGATTGCACACACAAAAGAAAATAAAAATACTAGCATTTATGTAAACCTGCATCAATTAACAAAACCATGACCTAATACAACTGATATAAGAAGTCGATCAAAATAAGTTTACTGCATAATAACCTTGATAAAAAAAATGTATAGCTGTAACATCACCGAACAAAACACTTTTTCAGACATGACAAACACATACAACAAAATCATAAAAAAAACAACATCTATAAGAACCTGAATATGAAAAACACAACCATGAAGATCAACATAATATAATTTTGGAATAGAAATCAATAAGAAGTCTGAATAAACATGTAATTAACACAACCATGAATACAATAATTTTGGAATAAACAATATTGAATAAGAAGTCTGAATATAATTAACACAACCATGAAGACAAAATAATTTTGAAATTTAGCAATAAGTCTCAGATTTTAATTATTCATAGCAGTTATTCAAGTCATCTAAGCACTGGTTTTGTCCTTTTGAATTTTCTTATGGGCCCGGACCATAGTCCCAATTTTTGCATTAAATGTTGAGATGGCAGTTTTCCCATCCATGGTGAAGGTTTTTAGGGCATATGCTGAAGACAAAAACAAAACAGTCATGAACACAAACTTGTATATTTACAGTACTTATCAGTCATAATCAATGTGAACATTGGATTCACCAATGAGTAAAGGGCTTTCAATATTTTGGACATGCCTTCAGTTTTTCTATAAGAAGCAGAAAGATGTTGGCACTGTTTGCCTTAACCTTAGGGTCCCATTGATAAAAATTAAAATTTATATTCATAGTTTTCTTTAACATGCTTCATTCCAAATTAGAAAAGAAATTTACTCCCAGTATTTGAAAAAATAATTCTCAGTTTATATTATACAAGTACAAAGTCCGAAATATTCAGTAGTTATACAACAACTATAAGATCAAAAGCAATGAGTGACCTGAGTAACTGGTGACGAAAAAAATTTTGATTTATCCAAGGAGAACAGTAAAACTCATTTAGTACGAACAAGGTTTTACGAAATCACGGATATAGCAAAGTTGTCCTGGATTCCCAACTATAAGAATTTCTTATACAGTTATAATAAATTACGGATATAGCAAAGTAATTTCACAGGTCTCAGCGACTTTGGTATAACCGAGTTTTGCTATAGGTATGTAAAACAAATCTTGCAAGATTTCTAGGATTAACAAGAAATGATACCTGAATTGGTACACTTAATCATAATTAAAACAAAAAAAACAAACCTTTCAGGGCTCTTCCTAATTCGGAATCTGCGACCTTACATCCTGTTGTGCCAACCATCTCATGAGGTTCAAAGAAGCCGTTTATCATGAGTTTGAAGGCACACGTTTTCGTCTTTCCTTTGAAAGCGCCTTGTAAATCGCTTAACCACGTAACTGGGACGAATAGTCGGTGTCCCTCCACCAGCTGTGTGTACCCAGCAGGGACTGTTTCATTGTTGTCAAGAAATTTCTACAATGTTAATGGCTAAGATTTAGATTTTTACATTCAAATATACCAAAAAACTGTGCGATTCCTCATTTTGTCTTTGAAATCGTATAAAACTTTATACATATATTGGAACTTATTATCATAAATTCATTTTGTTTTTTATTTAAAGTATGAAGTTTACTTACATAGTGGCACTTATTAATTTTTGTTCCTCTTTTCGGCATATAGTGCTCTGAGCTCGAATAAATTGAAACTTTTCCCTTCTCCTCTTCCTGTCTCAGCAAGTCTTAAAAATAAAACAGTCTTTGTAACACTACATTCTATCAGTAAATTTAGAAACTGAAATTTGCAGACATTTCTTTATAACCAATAACAAAAAATATGTTTTAAATACAAAATTCTTTTACAAGAAATTGTTAAACCTGCAAAAAAAAAAAAAAATAGAAATTAACCTAGTTCAGCTTTTAATTTGCTGGCCTCAGTCCTCCAGAAATCCAAATCTCTTTCGAGTTGGTCTGCAAAGGACTGTAGGTTTTTGAAGCTTTGTTCCTTCAATTCGCAATTCCCACATTGTACTGTATCTAATGGGTGGGGAGAAGATAATGAAGAAAAGTTTAGTAATGGGTTTGAAGCACTACTTGAGTCAGAAGAAGGAGGAGTAAGCTGAGATGGAAAAGAAGAAACTGTGCTAGGAGGGAATGAGGGGAGGTTTTGGTAGTTAGACATTGCTATGTTGTCAGAATTAGATGGAAATGAGGATTGGTGTTGAAAAGAAGATGATGTTGCCAAATTAGTGCCAGAGTTGGAGCTGGGCAATGGAGGAGTCAGAGGAGCAGTAGATACAGGTGGTTTGTCAGAAGGAATCGAAGGTGGGGTTGGGTATACAGGCATGCATGCCATGCTGAAGGGATGAGCAGATGGTGGTTGATAAGTAAAGGGTGTTGTAGTAAGTGGCAGCGTGGATGGATAAATAGGCAGTGGTGTCATGTTGGGGGGAAATGCAGATGGTGTTGGGTGAGTTGAAAGAGGAGCCATGCTGGGGGAACATGCGAGTGTGGATTGGTAAGTAGACAAAGGTGTTGTGTTAAGGGGAATTGTGGATGGATAGGTAGACAGAGGGATTGTATTAGGAGGAAATGTGGATGGAAGGGTAGACAGGGAGGTCAAGCAAGGGGGAGATGTGGCTGGGGCAGTAGACAGGGATGTACTAGTATTAGTTGTGTTAGAACCTACTTCTGAATCATTCCTCATGCATGTTTTGAAGATTTCTTCCGCATTTTTTACTGCTGTTTCTGCCTTCTTTTGATTCTCTTTTTTCTTCTTTTCTGCCATCTCTAAATGAAAAAATATATTTTAAAACACAAACACATAATGCACACTGAATGCACAAGTAGATTTATTTTGTTGACCGCTTTTAACCAAACAGCTAATTGTCATCAGAACCCTTATTAAATTATTCAAACTACTGTACTTTCAATTTCTTTAAATTACAACCAGTAACTTTAATTTCCTTTACACTCTTTAACAATCAAATGTTTGAGAATTACAGAGTAACAGAGCAGAATTGTAATATTCACCTTTTTTTCTTTTTAGAAAGTTCGTCTTCGACCTTCCTTTTTCCTGGATTCTTTTTTTTTCTCTGATGCTTTATATTTTAAGCACTTTTCTTTGTCCTCTGAAATTAATTTGAACATTTTAAGACAAATCCTGTTAGGGCAATACTGTATACAAACTTATATAATCTAACTGTGTAATCATTATTTTTCGTGAAGATTAATGTTCATAGGTAATCAATAAAGTGCCACGCCACTGCATGATACGCCCATCAAAAAATTACAATTTAATACCTTAAACAGTTTAAAATGCAAGAAAATCATGTCAACCTTGATTTTAAGATTTCCATGATTTTTCCACTCCTTAAAATATTTGTTTATCCATCTCCTGTGGTGTAGGCATTAATTATAACAAATATTGCATCATTCATAGATTTCTATTATGGTTGTTTTAGACCTTGTCAAATGCCCATTATAACAATATCAAATTAGTCTTAACAACTTAATTAATCTATACCTAATTAATTTTGAAAATAAAAGGCTGGCCATCAAATATAACCTGACCAACAGTTCTTCCGTCTAATTCCCAAAGGATACAGATATGTTTGTGGGGATTTTAATTCAAAGGTAAGGGGCTAACTAAAGGGTTACCCAGAAAATACAGGAACATAATGATACCTCTTTAAGTCTTAGATTTTGATTCCAAGCTAATGCAATCATTCAAGGTCTTTGGTTGCTTGATTAATAGGTTCAATTTCTTGAGAAAAAAGTTACATATTTGTAAGTTCTCTGAAACCTTGAGTACACAGAACATACCAGAGGCAAACACAATTTTTCCTTCGTAATTGACCCCATCACGCCATACTGCAGAACAGAGGTCGCCGACCTTGAATGTACGGTCTTCGCCTGTGTTCCCATCCTCATCCTCTATATCGTCTGCAGATATGGGGTCACTTAATTGGCTATCCATAGTAAATTGGACTACATACCATACTAAAATTGAAAACAAAACATAATACAGAAATGCATGAAACACATATAAAATTCGAAAAATAAGAAAATTCATTATTGGGCTTGACAACAATCAAGATGTATGGTGCAGCAGCCGACACAATTTTGAGAAATATACTCAATGGTAATAAAAAGGGAAAGTCTTCTAGGACTGCAACGTAATAATAATCACTCTTTTCAACAGACTTGTCAAACTTTTTAAACGCTGTCAGACATTTGGTCTGACACAGTCGAATGTTTTGTCGGGCCAGTCAAACTTTTGTCAGACCAGATACTTGTACGTCATTTTGATGCTGGTAAAATCATTTGAATAAAAGCACCAAAATGTCCTTTATTATTTTCAATAGCCTTCAATCTAACAAGCTTCCTTTCTTGGGATAGAGAGTCTTTAACATAGACATAAATGATAAGTTTTATGACTTTGCTATAACAAATTTAGCTAGCGTCAACTTGCTGCGTACGCAGCCATTTTTTCCTGTGTTTGTGACCTTGAACTACGCATCCAGATCCTGACCTTTGTTAAATTTGCATTACCTTCATTTTTTTTTCAAACAGTCATCTTGACTGACGTGTTCTTAAATGTTATCGGTCCAGACAAAATTTTACCGGCTTTGCCGACAGGACCGAAAGATTTTGACAAGTCTGTTTTCAATGGGTGACATAAACTTATATATAGCTGTTGTCTTTCAAATCTTTTTTAAGAGTGCATGTAACTGTGTGTATAGTTATACTGATTCCTCTCAGGTCCAGTCCAAAGACTATTTCTACCTACGTGGCTATTAATAGCTATGTAGTTATTTAAACCTACACAAAGTGGATATTTTTACCTACTTTTTGCATTATCTGCATTTTGTGGCCAATAGATATATATACAGCGCAACATGGTAAATACCACTTTTTTTTTATAAAGTCACACTGATGACAAAAACAACAAAAATTTGGTCAAAAATGATTACTTCCCCAATCAGCAATTTTACATTAGTTTCTATGCAAAATTGAAAATATACGAAATTATCATTTTTAGGCCAAATTTTTGTCATATTCGTTATCAGTGATATCATATCAAGAAATTTGGAACTTAACATGTTAACTGTCTTCCTGCATTTTGCCACAAAATGCAAGCAAAGCAGAAAGTAGGTTAAAATAGCTACTTTGAGTAGGTTTATTAAATAATATATAGCATGCGCAATTAATAGTTACGTATACGCAGGTAAAAATAGTCTTTGGACTGGACCGACCTGTCTCTCTCATTTTTTAAAAACCAAGTATGCTATCAGGTTCAGTCTTAGAAATTCATTATTTCACAGTTTTCTACCAGTCCAGGATACAGTGCCATAGAACATTGACGAACTCATTTTGATCTGTCTCACTTTTACAAAAGGAATTAATATAATTATAGTGGAAAAGTGAGACTGAAATCAAAAGTGAGCTTGCGTAAGTTTTCTGACCCCCAGGCCAGGGGTTTTTCTGTCGACCTATACATTATACAAAGCCTAGCCATTTTTTTCAAATACTGTTCAAAGCATCGGTAATATTATTGATACTTTTGGCGCCCTCATAATGAACTATTATACGATTTTCTACTCTGGTCATATTACAAATTACCATACTTACGTCTTTCACCTTCTTGAAATCTTCCAGGAAGTCGGACTCTTCTTCTTCCGGACATCTTCAAAAATTACTCTAAAGTTGCTTTAAGAAGTATTACCGCAGGCACTTGTACTATAAGACTCGCAAATCCGTGTCTTGAATTCTCAATACAATATTTGCGCCAAGCTCGTTGATTGGTTAATCTGGTTATTGACAAACACGAAACGGTAGTTAACAAAACGAAAGTTACATTCTAATTTTTTTTAGTTTGTTTATATACAAACTAAATTGTCAATAAATATGAATACAGAATTTTTTTAATGTTTGAGTGAATTAATAGTCGTTCGATTACCTTAACTAGAAAATTTGAATCAATCCGGTATTTTTTTTCGAATCCCAAATATCAAAATTACCCATCAGTCTTTCGTTTATTTACATCCGGTTTAGCAGCATGGCTTCCCAAGAAGAAAGTGAAAACATTGAGACTCCTATTTTTGCCGATAATGGTATGTAATTGTAATATACACATATTCCAAATATACCATGTTACAACATTTCAGATGGTGAAACAATAAATGAGGCTAGATCCAGCATAATTGCATACGCACGTCACAGAATTCCCTCATAACCAGCTTATGAAATTCTTCATTCTTATATTCTTATAAATCAGGGAATGTCCATACATTGAAAGAAATAATGATAATAAAAAGGCACGAAAAATGATCAGCGTTTTACCATTTTAACGTTGAAAAAAAAAATTAAGAAAAAGTCAGAATAACAATTAACAGTTGACGTTTCAAAAATTACAAAGAAATATGTACTCAAAATGACATATTGGTGCGGTTAAAATTAAGTCAATAGGTTCCATTGATTCAGTCTCTTGAATAACTTTTTTTAATTTGACAGAGTGTGAAAATGACCATGCATGCCATGATTATCCTATGCGTTTTGTGAATTCTTCAGTGTTTATTTTACAGACAATAGCGTATGTACAGATGAGGTGTGCATTGAAGATGTGCAGGATGAGGAGATTGAACTTCAGTCTGATAATTACATGTACTCTTCAAATGAGTATAATGATGAGAAACAAGGTAAATAATTAATAACCATATGCACTATGCCAACATTTTTTTTTATAAAAGCTTCATTTATGCTTTAAAACTAATTAGACCTGAGTATCGCAAGCTACCTAAAATCCAACGATACTAAACATAACATAATGTGGTCATGTGATATATCATGATGCAACTGTCAACAATTATATTAACTGGTATCTTTACATATTCTTGCTTGCTAACCTCCACTGTTGTAGAAAATATTAAAAAAAGAATATCTTGATTTTACATTTTATTTATTTTTTTTTTTTTGTTGCTTCATTTTGTGAACAAGTTTCAGTCTGAATTTGAAATCAAGTACTTTCCATTTTTATTTTATCAGTCCCCACACCAGAAAAGAAAAAGAAACTTGACAATCTTGGAAGAGTTCGGCCCAGATCATATGTGAAAAGTGGTGCAAGAAAACAAAAATCTACAGAGCAACAGCCTTCGGAACTTGAAAGATCTGAAACTGTCTCTTTATCAGCTACAGACTATTATCCAACTGGTCAATTAAACACAGATTCTGAGAAACATGAGGACTTTCCTTCCAATCCACAATTGCCCATTAGGAAAGACTTTTATGAAATTGTTTCAGAATTAATGGAGACCAGTGTTGTTACAGAAAGTTGTGAAGAGGATGATTTTTCATTTGAGAACTTGATTCAAGATAATGAGAGTCATGTGATTGAGGATCAATTAATAGAAGATGAAGAAAATCTGGCCAGTGACCCAGAAGAAATTCTTCCAAAAGATTCCCCAATTTACCCAGGTCATTTTATGAGTGTACATCATAGTATGGTATTAATTCTTCTTTATGCTATGTGCCATTCTATCAGTGGAGCTCAACTGGCAGATACACTAACTCTTGTTAGTCTACACTGCTTACATTCTCATCCAGGTCTAAAGAGCATTTATGCTTTTAAAAGGTATTTTGCAGATATGCATTCTCCAATAGTGAAACATTATTTTTGTAAGCAGTGTATGACAAGTGTGAAAGAAAATGACACTAATTGTCCATCTAAAGACTGTGGAATACAATTAGGAGTTAAAAACAAAGACTATTTTATAGAATTACCATTGGAAGAACAGTTAAAGAAAATAATGAAGAGGCCTGGAATTTTGAATTTAATTAAATCCAGATTTCACAGAAAAAAGAAGCAGCTAAATGGAATTGAAGACATATATGATGGTGCTGTTTACAAAAGATTTTCAGAAAATGGAGGTCCCTTATCTTCGGAAAACCCTACAAATGTTTCATTCACATGGAACACGGATGGAATTCCTGTTTTCAAAAGCTCAAAATTTTCCCTTTGGCCCCTCTATCTAGTCATTAATGAACTCCCATTCAAACAAAGATTTTTGAAAGAAAATATGATCCTTTGTGGACTCTGGTTTGGTGAGTCAAAGCCATTTATGAGTATTTTCACAAAACCGCTTATGGAATCTCTGAAAATTTTAGAAAGTAATGGAATTCAATACGAAGTGGAGAGTGAGAAGATTTGCACAAAAGGCTTTCTAATCTGTGGCACAGCTGATCTTCCAGCCAAAAGTATAGTGTTAAATTGTAACCAATTTAATGGCCAGTTTAGTTGTATGTTATGCTTACATCCAGGGGAAACGTACAGAACACAAAAAGGTGGAAGTGTTCACACCTTTCCATATGATGCATCTATGCCTAAACATGAAGAGAGAACAACTGAAAATTGCCTGAGAGATGCAGTTCTGGCAATAGAAAACAGAAAAACAGTCAATGGAATAAAAGGACCCTCATTTTTGATGACTCTAAAGTCCTATGATTTTGTAAAGTCAACCTCAATAGATTACATGCACGGTGTACTTCTAGGAATAGGTAAACTTTTAACTACTCTGTGGATCAGCAGCACACACAGTAAGGAAATTTTCTCAATATCTAACTATGTTGAAATTATCGATCAAAGACTTTTGCAGATTAGACCACCATCTATTATCACAAGAGTTCCAAGATCATTGTCTGACCATTTTAAATATTGGAAGGCCTCTGAATTGCGGTCTTGGTTATTTTTTTATTCATTACCTATTCTTCATGATATTTTACCTGGGAAATACTTGTTGCATTTTGCTTGTTTCGTTGAAGGTATTTTTTTATTGTGTTCAGATAGTGTAGCTTCTACAGACATAGAGAAAAGCTCTAAGCTATTGTCATATTTTGTGCACATGTTTCCTTCCTTGTACGGGGAAAGATACCTTACTTTGAATATGCATTCACTACTGCATTTACCACAATGTGTAACACAATTAGGACCTCTTTGGGTCTATTCGTGCTTTCCATTTGAAAATATTAACGGTACGTTGATGGAATTATTCCATGGTACACAAAATGTTGAATTACAAATTATGTGTGGTTTAAATGTACTTCAGAATATGTCAAGTATGATTGAAGAATTTGATGATCAGAGACTTCTAGACTTTGCAAACAAACTAAGTCATAAACGCCATTGTATTAAATCTGTATTAGGAACATCATCAGGATCTTTTCCTATTGGCATGAGTAAAACTGCTTTTTTGACAGATAATTTGTATAGCAAAATTTTTAAAGAATGCAAATTTAAACCAGTAAAGCTATTAACATATAAAAGAATATTACTTAGAGGAAGAATAATACATTCTATGGAATACACCAGGGTTTATATGAGAAATACCTATACTGTAAGTTATTTTGACACGGTAGATAAAAGAATACACTTTGGTCAAATAGAGAGTTATGTATTGGCAAAAGCTTGTGATTGCATTGAAGACTTGTGTCTATGTAATTCAGTATTGTTAGCCATTATTCATGAATTAAAATGTGAAGAACAATCAATTATTGAGGACAACTTCTTACAAGCTGATGTATCACATATCAAATTGGCAATGAAAACAGATATTATTCAAGTTGTAAATGTGTCAAAAATTTTGAACATTGTTGTATATATGAGTTTGACAGACAAATTAAACAAAGAGAAAATTTTTCTCTGCAATTTCCCAAATGTTGTAGAATCTGACTGAAATCCCACAGTGCTCATGCATTTTTTGTATAATGATGTGTTTGTACAAAATTCTGTTTATAAAACCTATCAAGGGTTCCAAATTCTTAAATTCTTATATTTTTAAATTGATCTGTCCATTTCACTACTTTGTACACATTGAAATCATAAAACATTAGTTTAGAAGCACATTTTTGTAGGCCTTGTGAATTTTTTGTGACAGTTTATTTGATTTGGGTGAATAAATAGTATACTTATTTTTTAAAAAGTGTTAATGCTTTTAAATTTAAGCATCCGATAACTAAGAATAAGTGTTATCAACCATGATCTTTGTAAAAGCTTTTTTTAAAGATTCTTGCAAACAATATGTAATGGTTAAGTTTCCTGCAAGCTTCTCGCTAACTATATCTGATGGTTAAAGTTTCCTGCAAGCTTCTCGCGAACAATATTTGATGGTTTAAGTTTCCTGCAAGCTTGTCGCAAACAATATCTGATAGGTAAAGTTTCCTGCAAGCTTGTCGCGAACAATATCTGATGGACAAAGTTTCCTGCAAGCTTCTCGCGAACAATTCCTGATGGTTAAAGTTTCCTGCATGCTTTTCGCGAACAATATCTGATGGTCAAAGTTTCCTGCAAGCTTCTTGCGAACAATATCTGATGGTTTAAGTTTCCTGCAAGGTTTCTGCGAAGAGACAAGTTTCTGCGAATTTGCAGCAAGCTTGCAGCAAAAAGCCGCAATGTTCGCAGAAGGGTTGCAGCTAGCTGCGAACATCTGCGAACATGATTTTTTTCTTCCTGCAAACAAATTTGTTTGCCGCAGACTTGCGGCAAATTTGCAGCAGGTCTGCAGCAAACATTACTGTTCTGTAAGGGTCTGTAAACACTAAAGCACCTGAGAAAAAAAGTGTCTAACAGACACGAATCCTGACTGAAAAATGAAGGTATAAAAAAAAAGTTTCATTCACACACCAGGAAAAAAATGTCTATCACAAGAAATTAATACTACACTCCACAAAGGGTGTTAAAAAAATATCCTTGTTGAATCAGCCGGACTCTGTGAGGCTTAAGCATTTAAAGGAGACATGGTACATCAGAGACATGCAGCAGGTTATATGGCTGGACTGTCATTTCTGATTATAAACCAATATTTGGTTTGGGTGACTTCACTGATGTTAAGGAGGAAGACAATGTCTACCACATCCTGATCTAAACTCTTACATCATAACCACCGTGAGGGATGTATGTGTGTACAAACAAATAAAGGTCATCCAAGGTCAACCCAGATTTATAACACCCCATAAAGGTCATATTTATACACACAGGTCATGATCATCCTATACACCTGTCACTCCAGGAGAGAGTGCTTAACTTCACTTTTAAAATCATTCACTCCTATCAAATATTATGGTTATTTTTAAACTGGCGGGGTTACTTTAAGTTTCCCGGCTACAAGTTCTTTTCTGGAAAGTATTCTTCATGTTTATACACCTGTTCTAACTGATCATCAATGAGTTTTTGGTTCCCAGAATAAATACGAAATTCAATTTTTTCTCTATATCCTCAAGTGCTTGATTACTAGTATGACACAAACATTATTTACATGTATAACCATACAGAATGATGCATGAAGGCCAGCTGTTATAACTTGTCAGTCCTCCTGAAGACAATGGCTATACATGTGTATTTACCTTCCTACAGATCAATGAAAATGATTTTTAAAAAAATCACAATCCACATGCAGACATCTGAGAATAACAGAAAAATACTGCATCATAATTAACAGCAGAAAAAATATTGTAAACAGTCAGCTGTCTACAGCTGAGCATGTGAAGTGCACTATGCAGTAAAGCTGTGAGCACTTAATCTCTCTCTTTCTCTCTCTCTCTCTCTCTCTCTCTCATATTTTTCATTCAAAAGAAAACCTATGCCATGCAATACAGTATGTAGTCTACGAGAGAAAGTCTTGTTCAACAGCAGTGCATTTGTATCACCACAATCACTAATAGACTTTATCTAAATAGGAACATGAGTCCAGCAATGACCAGCACTAGTTTATATTCATAGATTTTTTTTTGTCTTATTCTTATTCATACAGGTGGATTCAAGAAATCTCCAGGCCCATGGGTAGCAAATTTGTTTTTTGTTGTTTTTTTTTTTTGTTTTTTTTTGGAGAGGGGATCAAATATTTTTCAAAATTTTAAAGTAGTCTAAGTTGGTTTACTGTCTGATTCCAACAGCTGACTTCATTTGTATACACTGAAAAAGACTGTAATTAAGCTGGTCTTAATTAAGAGAATTAAAGAACTGTAAAATATAAATGCAGTACTGGTCACTAAACAATATCTTCAGTGAGAAGTTAAATCACTTGATACCAACATAACATGTATATCTGATCAAAACCCACAAAGAAGTCAGAGTTACCTCCCTTTCCAAAGTCACCAGAAAATGTTTTATCCTTGTTTCTTCTAAAAATGTTGTCCCTCCAATTTTCAAGTTCTCTATTAAGCAATAAAGACCTAAATGATACCCCACACTAACTCCTCTGTATTTCACAATCTTCATACCTCCCTGACTCCACATCCCATATACTAGTAACTCATTCCCCCTCCCATGCATCCACACCCACCCACCCCTTCCTTCATCTGCTTTTCTCTTATTTCACTGAATTTTCACTAATATGTCCACTTACTGGAAAATATTCAAAACTTATCACAAAACTATGTCCCTGTGGTCATAACAGAAAAGTTTAAACAAACCCTCATTAGGCATGAGATTCATTCAATCATCATTCCAACATTACTATCTTCTCGAAAGTGAATTTCAGAGGATGAGATCTCTCCATTCTTGTATAACACATGTAGCTTATTCAATTGAAAAGGAACTAATATTCTATATGTAAAATATATTTAATATCTATTTCATTTACCTGGTGGGACAGGTGTTAACAATGAAGGCATCTTGATTGGACTGCAGTCCTCTCTTAAAATATTGGACAATGGACAGGGTGCTCTCAAAATAAATCCATGTTACAGTGAAAAACAGTGGCTAGTCCAAAGAACTATGATGTATCCCAGAAGAATAAACACATTTCAAAACTAATTCAGGTCAACAACACAGATAATTTGTTATATGAAGATGAGGTATCTCCCTCTTTCAACTCTATGTGACAGGTCACCCTGCACTGTAGGGAGGTTTAATTTTTGATACTGTTTGTAAACACTGCAATCAAAAGAATTTAAATACTTAACAGACACCAGAAAAAACAGTCAGTAACCTTTATTCCACTAGCCTGCGCAAATTAAAACACATTTAATCCAAATGCTTAGATGACATTGAATATACCTTGAGCCATTCTAAACTAATAAAAACTCCAGTCTCTTAAAAAAATCACACACTTGTCGCATGATATACACCACCTCGACCAACATGTGTTGGAGTGGTATAAATACGGGCATGAAACCTCTGCATGAATTGTGTGTGATTATGTATGTCTGCCCTACAATTAAGCATACAGAAACAATTAGTTCAATGCATTTCTGTTCATTGATATGAAATCAATGGCATACTGCCATCTTCCCCAAGGTTTCTGGGCCAAGTGCAATACTATCTAATTGATAATGCTCTATTGATAATGTATTGATAATTCAAATGACATATTTTTTACTTTAAAAAGGAAAAGGAGTGATAATAAAAATTTAAGTAACTTGGCCTTGCTGGTTGAATAAAATGAATCTCTATGTATACTGTTAACTGTACATATCAAGGCCTAAAATAAAAATTAATTTGTTTAAAGTTGCCTACCAACTCACTGAAAATGCACATGACCCATTAAACTTTTATTTAATACCCATTTTGTAATTTTATTTTTTTTTTTTCAATTTTTCAGAATATACCATTTCATCTTCGCTAGCTAAGGGTGACGATCCACTCCTTATAATCCTCCTGAAAAGAGGAGAGGAGCGGATTGTCACCCTTGGCTAACGAAGATGATACCAGTTGTGACAATTAAACCTTACGAAGATTAATCATGTTAATAATACTAACATAAGAAATTGAGAATATAATGTGACTCTATAGATCTAAAAATATCTATTCAATCCTCATTACTTTATGACTTACTGTCATAGATATTTATAAAGACATATTCAAGCAGTGCAGGTGCATCACTTTACTTTCCTTAACCGTTGCCCTTCATATATGTATAAAGAGATAATGAACTGGCTTTCAAGATCTTGACAACAATACAAATTGAATGCATATCAGATCTAATATTGAAAATTAAGGAATTTGTGACATCTGACAATCATAGTGCAACATATTAGGATGTATACAGACTACAGTATACATGTGTGATTGCTATAAGCTGTTCAAAATAAAATATTGGTTAGTCATATATAGTATTGTAACAGGAAGGGAGAAAAATGTATCATGGATGATTATACACAGCATCTTGCTTCACTTAACATACAGGTGCTCCAATCACTGCACTATATACTTAAAGCTAATATCCTGGCCTAACCTTTTATATCCCTCCCTCCTCAAAGACACCCAGAGTTCTTTCTGCAACAAAAATAATACACATAAATCTTGAATGTATGCAGTTTAATGTATCTTGATTCAGGCATTTGCATGGTTACAAAATTCATTATGGATTACCGGTACATTAAATTTGTACATGTAAAACAGTAATGGAACAGAACACAGCGTAAAAAATTATAGATTTTATAGAGGGGGGGGGGTGTCATAGCCATGCAGGTCTAAGTGTTTTCTTTCTATTACATGTACTGGTATTTTTGGAGTTTAAGGACCACCCAAAATCTTAAAATGATCATGTGTGCGTAAATAAAAATTTATGTATGCTATAGTAAAGCGTAAAAATCTGATTCACATGTTCTCATATGTTCTCAGAGGCAAAAAATTAAGGAAGGAGGATTTTATGTGGTGGTCAGGTAACTTAAAGTTTGCTAGTTATAAAACCAGATAGATATAAAGCTAGGTTATAGGGCACTTAAATTGTCTTCAGCTTGCAATATTATTAATGTTTCTGAATAAAAAAATCAAGATCTGAATTTTCTCCCTTAATCTTGTATTAGATGCTATTGACCAGAATATGAAAAAGATACAAGAAACCAGTTGGTGCTGACATTAAAGATGGGACTGGTAATGGTATATGACAGTCAGGCATATATAGGTTCATTCACCAGTGGCCATATAGAGAACTGGTAAGCTGACCTGTTTAAAGCATGCACTGCTTGGTTTGTTCTAATCTAACTGGACATAAACCTGGTCTGATCTGTCACATTTTCCCCTTTCCTGTTACAATAGTATGGAGTATACTGTGGATATGTCATGGAAGAAAACTGCCTGAATTACATGACTGAATATTCTTTCTAAATTAGCTAGGGGAGTCCACACTGTGCCTCAAACCTACTACCCTAAGATAAAAAATACCCACCTACTGTGCTAAAGGGTTAAATAATTTAACCCACTAGCTAATGCTAATGACCTTATGACCTAGTTAGAATGATCTAACTGTGTCTCGGTACAAGCCCTCACCACAGTTAGAATATGTCCCACATACTTGCAATGTAGCAAATCGGAGCGGATCCGCTCCGAAACGATTTTGAAGAATATAAAAGGATTTGCACTGGAAATAACTACCAAATTAATCAAAACAAACTTTTTGAGATTGCTTATGCCTTTTATCCTAGAAAATAATCCATCTAAAGACGAAAATCCAATTAATTTTCTCAACGTTTTTCTCTCGCTTCAAATTTACCTGCCATGTTTACATTCGGAACTCTCTAGATTGTTCGTAGTAAATGCACTGAGTTATAGTGAGTACGAGTTATCGCCCATGTTTCTTTTGCTACATTACGAATACATGGAACGAATTCTATCGTTAAACCGGGTCAGTAGGACAATATCATTTTAACAATAGAACATTCTATCTATAAATGACCATGCCGGCCTTGATCTTCAAATTTATTTACAATACTCTTAAACTGTGCTAAAGTGTATATATTGTATGAGAAATCTAAATTATCAAAAAAAATTATAGTTTCAAAGTAGGTTACTGACAAATTTTGTATTTATGACATCACAAAATATTCGGATTTTCTACTAACTTTCAGAAAGAGAAAAAATATACAAATTTTGCTCAATTTTTACTTTAAAAATAATAGAGCGCAGGTCTGCTCAAGAACAATATTTACAAATTTCATTGATATAATTATCATTCTACACACAATATTTAAATATAGAGCTTGAGCAGACCTGCGCTCGGTGAGTTTTGATCAAAATATTGACGTAATATACACCATTTTCCATATATAGGGTTTTCATTTTTTCCAGACTGCTCAATAGGCATCGTCCCTTGGTGCCTTATGCTGCCAGGCCAACAAAATATATACCGGTATATATACTTTTTGTAATAATATGACTATTAATAATAATAATTTGATTACATAACTTGTTTGCTATTATCTGCCAGGTCATTGCAGTATAAGGGAGCTTGGTATTTTATTACTTTTTTTTTTTTTCTTCATATTGTATTATTATCATTATATTATATATGTAATGCTTATATTTCATTGTGAACTACCCTGTATATCAGTATTTCAAATCTGAGAACTTTTACAAGTGAGGATCAAGTCAATTTTGCTTTGTTATAATCATGATTATATTGTTGTTTCTTAATTGTATATACCCCCAGAGGGCCCTTGATTGGTGAATAAATAAATATATAAATCAGAGACATATATGGTTTTATATGTCTCTGTATAAATATAGTCAGAAAATCATGGAAATATTTTAAAACTTACATCAATTTTCTGATGTCATATCATCAAACATATGATGACATGGCTTATGTTAATATTCAGTGCTTTGAAGTCTAGATATCCTCCTGTTTTAATACATAATTATATATTTCTACATCAAAGTTTGATTTGGGGGGCAAATATTGGTCATTATGACATTTATACTGCATAAAGTCATTAATTTGGGCACTCTAAGTAAAAGCTTTTTTTTAAATAAAATAATTCTCAAAACACATATACTTATATACATTTATATGAATTTATAATTTAGGCGTAATTATGGTTGAATATGTCGTATCGCACTATGACAGGTAACACGAATCACCGGAATGCCCCGTAATCACCGAAATGCCCCTAAAAATCACCGAAATGCCCAACAAAACCACCGAAATGCCTTTACATATGTTTTTACATGATGTTTTTCATAAAAATTAATGCTTATTTTTTTCAGTAAAGCATAACTGACGGTAAAATTAATTATTTTCATGTTTTGTGTTCGAAGCGTATCGTACTTCAAAGGGCGATAACTCGTATTATTTTGGTGATGACCTAGGAAGTGAAGTCTACAATGTTTAAAATCTAAGAAATAATAATGTCTTATGATATTTCTCGGAGAAAATTAGATGACAAATGATAACTATGATAAAAGAAAAAAATTTGACTTTCTTCTTTCTTCCCTTTCTTCCAACTTTTCGATTTCGACAAGTCACCGAAAGAAGGGTCAACAACAGACACATCATCGACTGAATATATAAAACATCGAAATTTAACAAATATGTAGAGAAAATCGTGTATGTGACTAAACGTTTTATTCATTTTCAAATCTTTTTTTCATTAAATCAAATACTTCATCCAATATTGCAGACCTATGACCTTGCTCGGATTCACGAGAAGCAATCTGTATGAGTAAGACCAACAATCATCATGATGGATATACAAAAGAGACAAATAAAAACATGTTTATATATATATACGTCTTTGATTATGTTTATTATATCTGAATAGATCTACTTAACACGACATCTGACAATTTAAAAAAAAAAAAAATTGTCCGTGAATTTCTTCTCACAGACACTATATTGTCGGTGAATTGTCCATTCGGCGAAATTCACTTTTGTCAGTGACCTGTCTTTCGGTGAGTTGTCTGGCACCACTGCAGACGCCTGCTGCGGGAAAATAGGCGTAGTGTTAAAATATATATACCTGCCATAATTCATTGAGTAAATTTATCTTTTATTGTATATATTTTCTTTTACAGACCATAAAGTTAACGTTTTACCAAACAAAACGAGAGAGGGTACACCAAATTTCCGTGATAATTTACGACCGCGATGTAAGAATTTCAAAAGACAAATGCAGTCATAAAATGAAAAAAAGGTTTTAAACTTTGTACTTCGTTAAGGCCATGTAAAATATTACTATTTCTATTAATGATTTTTTTTATTCTGTTACTTGATTAGATACATAGTCAGTCAGGTCAAACATTAATTGTACGGAACATTTCTCTTGTAAATTAACAAACCTTTCCAAAGTAGCAATTGTTTCATAAAACGATGTAGGTGTATTCAACCCATTCAACAACTTAAAAATAATATATATAGTAAAATTGTGAAATTTTACTATTTCTATTGAATCAAATGTAGTTCATTATCCCAGGATACCCATGTCAATGTTTGTATAGCGCACGTGCGTAATTTCGATCACTGATTGTGATGTACCTGATTATGTAATATGACATAATACTACACACCTGTCAATAGATCAATTACTTAATTAATCCCAGTGAGATTAGCTGTCCGTGTATACACAGTAAACATAATTTCAGAATTTGTTTCAGACGAATTAAACATAATAAATCAAATTAATTTTGTCTTCATTTTTTAATCATTAATACTAGTAAAAAAATATGAAACTTAAAAAAAAATATTATTTCATAAACACAAAAACGAAATAAAACTATAATTTTGATAAATTTTTGCTATTTTCTTTAAACATTGCAGTTCTTTTCTTTGCTAGTTACCAGAGGATCAAATATTCTTTAGGATTCATTCATACAAATTGAATAGAATTCCATCAAGCATTGATTCTATTTTACGCAGCTGTTACCATGGTTACTGTACTGATGAGAAGTGAGAGATCCAATCAAACTTTTAATAATTATAAGATTTAAAAAAAAATGTTGCATTAATAGTCCCATTTTCATATCAGATAACAATGAAATTTTATTAAATTCATTCATGGTAAATATTTTTTTAAACTAAACGTAGAAAAGATCTTTCTATTTGCTTTAAAACTTAATATAAAGATAGAACTTTCCAGTATAATTACACTAGTGTACTCCGTTTTTAGAAATCAAGAATATAATTATGTAAATAATATTACAAACAAAATTTTAATTGATATGAAAAATATGACTTATTATTTAGAATATATTTAAAACAGAAAAATTAAAAATAAGACTATTTTGGCACGTGCCTTTAATCAGTGAGAGTTATCTTTCTTAGATACTATAACATGCACAATCTTCTGTTCAAATAAAAATACTTACGTTCAAATTATGACATTTTTATTCGGTATCTAGGCTCTAGAACAGTTAAAGTCATCAATATTTATTAATTTTTTGTTTATATATAGCAAAATAAGGGGCATTTCAGTGGCATTTCGGTGATTACGGGGCATTCCGGTGATTCGTAGTACCGCACTATGACCAGTCCACATTTTTTGCTTTCCAAATCTGGTCAAGACCAGATTTTCACATGTTGTAGTTTGGCAAGATTATCAAACATTCACACAAACAAATTATCATCATCATGACATAATATAATGACTTACTATGTAAATAAATTATTATCACACTTAAATTATATCTACAATAGTTGTGGCAATCAACTTATTATCTGTGTCTCTGATGCAAGTGCTCGTGATTATTTGCAACAGAGGAAATTCGAACTGTAATTTTCAGCCATGACTTATTGACACCATTAACACTCACATCCTTTTATTTGTCCCCTCATACAATTAACTGATGTTCTATAGATATGGAAAGACATCCTTACCTTTATTCAACATCGGGACACTTTCTTTCAGTGCCATGCCAGTGCATTTACTTGGACACGCGACTTGATGACGTAGTACACAGATCCGGTTCAACAAAAACGCTAGTTGTGGCTATCAGTTTGAAATAAGTTCTTGAGATATTGTGTATTTCGTACACACATAGATATATTTAAGGTGAGAGCATTTAACGTTTTAATGCCACCTGGTTCCAACCCCAACAGACCCCAGTTTGAGTATAAAAGAGTGTGAAATATTCTCTGAATACCATTGATCAAATTGGGGCAGTTTGGTATTCTCTTCAGCTGTTCAGAGAACTGAGTGGGGAGGCCACACTTGTTTCGTATACAGGGTACCCCCTACTTAAAATATAAGTAGGGGATACCCCGTATACCAAGCAAGTGACTGTGGGGGAGTCTAAGGATTTCGCCTACATGGATGCACAGGCACTGGAAGCCAATTAATGTAAATATTGAGTATGTGCATGTGTAAGCACATCCCGAGTCTCAACATGGTCAGTACATTAACTTCTAGTGTCCTTGCATCCATCAGGTTCAGTACAATCTCTTGATTTAGCTAAATAGCTATATAGCTTTATTAAGCTATTCAAAATAGCTTTATTTAGCTATTTATAAGTAAGTTTTTCGTGAAAATGTTTTTTGTTAGAAATAAACATGATAAACAAAAAGTCACATGTATATGTTCTATTGGCTATCAAAAAATCCAACCAAAATCAATGAAAATTCTTCTAACATATTGCACACTGTTGCAGCTTTTGATGAATACTTTTATGCAAAAACAGAATTTCTATTGTTATAGAGTATAACTGTCCACTTCCCTGTGTGGGTAAAGGCATGGATAAGTATGATTGCTTCTCATTGTCCTGAATTATTGTAACCAATCAATTATCTTGTTGACCATGATTGGTCTCCTTTATCTGTTTACAATTTCATCACAGAATTAACTGTATCAGTTGCTTAATATAGCCCTAAACTTGTAGAACTTGAGAACAAAGCCTCTGAAGGAGACGTAATTGGATGAGTGAGTTTTACAAGGCTTTGCATTATTTTCAGAAGAGTTCAAGGTTGAATGTCGATCATCACCACACCAAATTGCGAATATTTGTACCTGCTGAGAAAATTACATGTATAAGAAAAAAGTGTGTTAAAATAGCTAAATTAAGCAATTCTGAGTGAATAGCTTAATAAAAGCTATATAGTCACATAGCTAAATCAAGAGATTGTTCTGGACCTGTCCATATATTAGGTGAAAGCCTACCACTTAGTGGTAGTTAATTCAGCAAATCATTTCATGATTAAAATAGCATTCAATCATATTCATATACCCATTACTTGGCCACACAACCTACAAAAGTGCATAGTAGTTTTTAAAAGTTTAAAGGTTGAGATCCAAAAAGCAACAGAGTCCATTTGCAAGGTGCATATAGGTTCTAATAAAGACAAATTTTTGTTTTGAATTTTTTAAGTTTATAAACTTGATTTAAAAAAAAATTCTTACATTTTGCACAGTGCAAGTTCATTTCATAGTGTACACTCACAGTTACAAGAGTTATTTCCCTTGTTGTGGATCAACTGGCATGAGGCACAGCTGCAGATCGAGCTTTACATGTAATTCTTTGGGGAAGAAAAAATGTATACAATGCATTCAAAAGGGATTGTTTGTAAAATATATCATGTACCAGGTAGACATGACAAAATAGAGGGCTATAATCTTATAACAATGTACAAATAGGTTTTAAAATATTGTATAGAATTTTTTTGAAATATATGATTATGAATTACTGGTTCAGTGGTTGTGGGGTGGAGAATTTAATATATACCGATAGTTAAAATGTTAATTTTACCTTTATGTTTGTAATAACATCAATTTCTAATTGTTTAATTCTAGTTATTTTGTTTTGATAGGATGGCAGCTCTACAGCTGAGATGTAAGACCAAGACAGGACAACACATCCTTACAGGGCTAAACCCGACCTCACAGATCAGTGAGCTGAAAGACAAGATTGTGGAGGTCACCAAAATCCCCAGGGCTGCCATCACCATCCGGCAGGGGTATCCTCCCAAAGTCATAGACATCAGTGATGATACTAGTCTACTGTCCTCGTTATCATTCAGGTCAGGGGATACCCTAATCGTGGAGGAAAATCGTAAACACCAACAGGAAGTCCAGCAGCAGCAAACACGTGAAATAGATAACGTAATTCAGAAACAGTCAATGAACTCTAAAGGAATTCTAATGAGAAAGGTTGTGCCAGCAGATAATTCATGTTTATTCACAAGCATTAATGCTCTTATGAACAAGGGTGTTGTAGATCTTTCATGCTCGAAGGCCATGAGAGAGATCATTGCTGGTGTGGTAATGAGTGACCCTGTTAATTTCTCAGAGGCTTTCCTCGGAAAGACCAACAATGCTTACTGTCATTGGATCATGAACCCTGGTTCCTGGGGTGGGGCCATAGAAATTTCTATCCTTTCACAGTATTTCAATGTAGAGATTGCTGTTGTAGACACACAGAGTTGTCGAATAGACAGATTTGGAGAAGACAAAATGTACAAGGAGCGTATATTTGTGATCTATGATGGTATTCACTACGACCCTTTAATTATGGAGCCACTAGATCCCAGCCTTCCCGTTCAGACAATATTTCCTACAAATGATGCCTCAGTTCTTGCTCAGGCTATGGAGATAGCATCAGAAGCCAAAGCTTCTCGACAATTTACAGATGTAGGTAACTTCTCCATAAAGTGTCTGGTGTGTCAGAAACTTCTCACCGGTCAGGGGGAGGCCCAGGCCCACGCCAAGGCCACCGGACATATCAACTTTGGAGAGGTTTGATGTTATGTAGGGTTACTCAGTAAACTGCCAAAACATGCATGTTAAATTGTGTTTAAAATTGTACATGTACATTGGTACCTATGGTATTTGTGGCTTGCTTGTCTTGGATACTTTTCATTGGGATCTGGAGACTGATCTATGACTGACCATCAAAATATTTAGACTACAGCTTTACAGATTTCATTTCAAGTTTGAAGTATTTACTCCACTTATTTACTTAAGGGCATCCTACGATCTGTACAATGTTTAAACCACTTCAGTGAATATGGTGAATTGTTGATGTACCATGCTTAATTACAGGTGCATACCAAGTCTAAGTCACTCAGTAATGCTTAACACACAGTGCCAAGGATTTCCATACATTCTATCAATGCAATTGTCTTTAATTGACTAGTGTACATGTATTTGTGCATTCTGACATGTTTGAAAATTAATATACATGTTATGTCAAATACATGTGTGATACTTGCTTTCATGTTTTATATTATCTGATGATTTACTGCCTATTTTGTTTACCTTATACAGTATGTAACTAACAGCACTGCTTGTTTTTATTTTAGTCTACCTCAGGTTTTTCATATTAATTTTCTCATAATTTACAATGAATAAAAACAAGCACAAAAATGATTTCAATTCTAATGATTATTACTTAGCTCACCTGAGCCGAAGGCTCAAGTGAGCTCTGCTGATTACATTTTGTGCGGCGTCCGTCTGTGTAGCTAAGTCCGTCTGTCTGTCTTCTCAAGAACCACTTGACCAATTTCAACCAAACTTGCCACAAAGTATCCTTGAGTTAAGGGGATTCAAGTTTGTTTAAATGAAGGGCCACACCCCATTCCAAGGGGGCGATAATTAAAAATTTACTTTATTTAGTGAAAAATTAATGTCATCTTTTAAAAATCTTCTTCTTAAGAACCACTGGGCCAAGAAAGATGAAATTTTTGTTGAAACATCCTCAGGTACATGTAGGTTAAGATTCAAAATTGTTCATACCATGACCTTGGGGGTTAGGGCAGGGCCACAATGGATGATCACAGTTTTACAGAGGAATATATAGGCAAAATCTTTAGAAATCTTCTTGAGAACAGCAAAGCCATGATTGGTCATATTGATACAGAATTACAGATGTGTCCTCAGGTAGTGTAAATTCAAGGTTGTTCAAATAATGACCCTCAGGGGTAGGGTGGGGTTACACATAGTAATGTATAGGAAGAAAAACTTGAAAAGCTAATCCTCCTTTTAGGAACAGCAAGGCATGATTAGTATTATGTCACAGGGTGAATTATAATTTAAAATTGATTAATATTACTAATTATCATTCATATCATTTTCATGTATTATTATATGGCATCATATTATTATAGTACCAGGTAACTAGTGAATTCCATTGTCACTATGGAATTTACTATGTTCATTCACTGCCTTATTCATTCATTCATTAGGCCTATTTTATACGGATGAGTGGTCAGTGAGAGTATACGAGTGTGTGAGTGGTCAAACAGGTTTTTTTCTGTCCCCTGCACATTTGCGCCTATACTAATTCTTGAGCACTCCAACACAAACTAGAGGTACTGTGAGCAATGAGCTCACTAAATGATACCCCCCGCCTCCCATAATATCCATGTGTTGCTATATATTGTTATACCCCCCGCTTGAAAAGTGGGAGGGTGTGTAGTAATCGGTATTTCCGTCCGTCCGTCCGTCTGTTATGCTTTGGGGTACCCATCTCTTATCCGCAACTCCTCTCATACTACTGAAGGAAATTTAATGAAACTTTCACAGGTTTTTTTCTGTCCCCTGCACATTTGTGCCTATACTAATTCTTGAGCACTCCAACACAAACTAGAGGTACTGTGAGCAATGAGCTCACTAAATGATACCCCCCGCCTCCCATAATATCCATGTGTTGCTATATATTGTTATACCCCCCGCTTGAAAAGTGGGAGGGTGTGTAGTAATCGGTATTTCCGTCCGTCCGTCCGTCTGTTACGCTTTGGGGTACCCATCTCTTATCCGCAACTCCTCTCATACTACTGAAGGAAATTTAATGAAACTTTCACAGGTTTTTTTCTGTCCCCTGCACATTTGCGCCTATACTAATTCTTGAGCACTCCAACACAAACTAGAGGTACTGTGAGCAATGAGCTCACTAAATGATACCCCCGCCTCCCATAATATCCATGTGTTGCTATATATTGTTATACCCCCCGCTTGAAAAGTGGGAGGGTGTGTAGTAATCGGTATTTCCGTCCGTCCGTCCGTCTGTTACGCTTTGGGGTACCCATCTCTTATCCGCAACTCCTCTCATACTACTGAAGGAAATTTAATGAAACTTTCACAGAATCTTCATTACATATTGCCATTGTGCACCTCCTATTTTACTTTTTGATCTGACATGTATTTTGGATTTTCCAGAGCAAAACATGGACACTGCCATTATTTTCATATGGGAGGCGGGGGGTATCATTTAGTGAGCTCATTGCTCACAGTACCTCTAGTTTTAGGTAATGTGTAAAGAGGAATAACTCGTCCTATCAAATGTTATCCAGAAGCTTCTATGTGACATGATAGGTAAACATATAATGGCAATGTCCATCTTTTGCTATGGGAAATATAATAATACGTGTCGAATAAAAAAGTAAAATAGGAGGTGCACAATGACAATATGTAATAAAGATTCTGTGAAAGTTTCATTAAATTTCACTCAGTAGTATAAGAGGAGTTGCGGACAAGAGATAAAGCGTAACAGACGGAAAGTTTCATTAAATTTCACTCAGTAGTATAAGAGGAGTTGCGGATAAGAGATAAAGCGTAACAGACGGACGGACGGACGTACAGACGGACGGAAATAACGATTACTATATACCCTCCCACTTTTCAAGCGGGGGGTATAATTATCTTACGATTATTGTGGCAAAACTGGGTCTAGGATTTACAGTAAGAAATAATTGTTAAATTATTTCTTAGTAGTCAATTATTTATCAGTATCTATTTGATCATTATACCCCCCGCTTGAAAAGTTGGAGGGTATATAGTAATCGGTATGTCCGTCCGTCTGTTACGCTTTAGGGTACTTATCTCTTATCCGCAACTCCTCTTATACCACTGAGTGAAATTTAGTGAAACTTTCACAGAATCTTTATTACATATTGCCATTGTGCACCTCCTATTTTACGTTTTGATCGGACAGATATTTTGGGTTCCCCGGACACAGCAAAACATGGACTTTGTCTTCAGTTATAACCATATAGGAGGCGGGGGTATCATTTAGTGAGCTCATTGCTCACAGTACCTCTAGTTTTATTTAACTGAAGTGATTTAAAAATTATCTTAATTCCTATAAGTTTAACTGATGCGCGTAAAAGTGTGAGTGAGGTGAGAAATATTAGATACCTGTTACAGAAATATTCTCTGAATACCATTGATCAAATTGGGGCAGTTTGGTATTCTCTTCAGCTGTTCAGAGAACTGAGTGGGCAGTCCACACTTGTTTCGTATACAGGGTACCCCCTACTTAAAATATAAGTAGGGGATACCCCGTATACCAAGCAAGTGACTGTGTGGGAGTCTAAGGATTTCGCCTACATGGATGCACAGGCACTGGAAGCCAATTAATGTAAATATTGAGTATGTGCATGTGTAAGCACATCCCGAGTCTCAACATGGTCAGTACATTAACTTCTAGTGTCCTTGCATCCATCAGGTTCAGTACAATCTCTTGATTTAGCTAAATAGCTATATAGCTTTATTAAGCTATTCAAAATAGCTTTATTTAGCTATTTATAAGTAAGTTTTTCGTGAAAATGTTTTTTGTTAGAAATAAACATGATAAACAAAAAGTCACATGTATATGTTCTATTGGCTATCAAAAAATCCAACCAAAATCAATGAAAATTCTTCTAACATATTGCACATTGTTGCAGCTTTTGATGAATACTTTTATGCAAAAACAGAATTTCTATTGTTATAGAGTATAACTGTCCACTTCCCTGTGTGGGTAAAGGCATGGATAAGTATGATTGCTTCTCATTGTCCTGAATTATTGTAACCAATTAATTATCTTGTTGACCATGATTGGTCTCCTTTATCTGTTTACAATTTCATCACAGAATTAACTGTATCAATTGCTTAATATAGCCCTAAACTTGTAGAACTTGAGTACAAAGCCTCTGAAGGAGACGTAATTGGATGAGTGAGTTTTACAAGGCTTTGCATTATTTTCAGAAGAGTTCAAGGTTGAATGTCGATCATCACCACACCAAATTGCGAATATTTGTACCTGCTGAGAAAATTACATGTATAAGAAAAAAGTGTGTTAAAATAGCTAAATTAAGCAATTCTGAGTGAATAGCTTAATAAAAGCTATATAGTCACATAGCTAAATCAAGAGATTGTTCTGGACCTGTCCATATAGGTGAAAGCCTACCACTTAGTGGTAGTTAATTCAGCAAATCATTTCATGATTAAAATAGCATTCAGTCATATTCATATACCCATTACTTGGCCACACAACCTACAAAAGTGCATAGTAGTTTTTAAAAGTTTAAAGGTTGAGATCCAAAAAGCAACAGAGTCCATCTGCAAGGTGCATATAGGTTCTAATAAAGACAAATTTTTGTTTTGAATTTTTTAAGTTTATAAACTTGATTTAAAAAAAAATTCTTACATTTTGCACAGTGCAAGTTCATTCCATAGTATACACTCACAGTTACAAGAGTTATTTCCCTTGTTGTGGATCAACTGGCATGAGGCACAGCTGCAGATCGAGCTTTACATGTAATTCTTTGGGGAAGAAAAAATGTATACAATGCATTCAAAAGGGATTGTTTGTAAAATATATCATGTACCAGGTAGACATGACAAAATAGAGGGCTATAATCTTATAACAATGTACAAATAGGTTTTAAAATATTGTATAGAAATTTTTTGAAATATATGATTATGAATTACTGGTTCAGTGGTTGTGGGGTGGAGAATTTAATATATACCGATAGTTAAAATGTTAATTTTACCTTTATGTTTGTAATAACATCGATATCAATTTCTAATTGTTTAATTCTAGTTATTTTGTTTTGATAGGATGGCAGCTCTACAGCTGAGATGTAAGACCAAGACAGGACAACACATCCTTACAGGGCTAAACCCGACCTCACAGATCAGTGAGCTGAAAGACAAGATTGTGGAGGTCACCAAAATCCCCAGGGCCGCCATCACCATCCGGCAGGGGTATCCTCCCAAAGTCATAGACATCAGTGATGATACTAGTCTACTGTCCTCGTTATCATTCAGGTCAGGGGATACCCTAATCGTGGAGGAAAATCGTAAACACCAACAGGAAGTCCAGCAGCAGCAAACACGTGAAATAGATAACGTAATTCAGAAACAGTCAATGAACTCTAAAGGAATTCTAATGAGAAATGTTGTGCCAGCAGATAATTCATGTTTATTCACAAGCATTAATGCTCTTATG